GGCTTTTGAGTCATCTGGGCAGGTCGCACCAAGTGCCTCAGCCTGCACCTGTTACCTCTTGATTATTAAAAAGATATTTCTTAATGATCAGTAATGAATACAACCATACAATACAAGAGCCGAGGGGATATTTTATTCTTGGGTTATAAATCTTTTTCCTCTTATAATATAAATCATACATGCTGCTAAGAAGGAAGGTCTTGTGTATGAGTCACATGCCTGGGAGCGAGCAGATCCATGTTCTATTCCCAGCTTTTCCTCAATTCCTACAACACACACATTCTTCTTCCTTGCAAGGCAACTCAGAGGAACGTCTAGAAGAGCTAGCTCTTAAATAGACACATCCTTGGGCCAACATGACACCCATATGCCTCATTTTCAATTGAATAGGCACATTGCCTCCCAAGAACTCCAGCAAGCAGGGATAGGGCGTGTGCACACCATCCCTAGAGGACATGCTACCATATTTATCTCTTAGATAAAAAAATATGTATTTCTCTCTCCCCATCCTCTGGAAACCTAACTACCTGGTGGCTTAGTTGATATGAGTTCATTGTTTTTCATTTGACTTTCAAAATATGCTGTGCAAATATTTGAGTAACAATACCTCAAAAGGCAGAAAAGGGGAAGGTTGTTTTTTCCATACTCAACTTTCAAAATCATTTTCTTTCTTTGTGAATTTTTAACAATATTAAAGTTAGTAAAACAAGACTTTTTTAAAGATGTGATGGTCCAAGTATAAACAAACTCACTGTGTATAAACACATTACAATACTTTATATTTACTCCTCAACCATGTAATTGGTCTTTTTTTATCTGAAATTTGAAGAATATTCCCATCTTGCATGATTAGCTATAATCTAGGCAGGGCTTCTTCTGAATTCTGTACCATTGTTCTGGAATGTAACCAAGATTTTTCAATGGTGAATACAGAATCTGCTTTTCAAACACAAAACACAAAAGGCCAAAAATGCAATGTGATGGGATATCAAGTTATTGAAGAACCCTAAATAAGCATTTATGCGCCGGCTCCCGTGCACCCCCTGGCTAACCTTGCCACACTCGGGCTCTGAGGCTCCCAGGCATGTGAGCTGCCGCGGCTGCCGGGGCACGGGGCCCTGAGCCTGCTCTGGAGGCTCACACTCCCAGGAGCCGCAGAGCCCGAGCACGGTGAGGGGGGAGCCGGAGGGTGCACAGGGGCCGCTGCCCACATGCATCTCCTGCAGCCTGCAGGAGCCACCTGGGGTGGGGGGTGGGGGGGCGCCGGGCCGCAGCCTGGACAGGAGGGGCGGGGGGCACGGCTGCTTCCCACTAGCAGCGCTGCTGCCTTTGCAGGGCTGCTCCACCCTCCCCACCCCCCCCCAGCGCTGTGCCAGCTCCTCCATGGCTGGGGCTCGCCACCCCCACAAGCTGATGCTCTGGCTTTCTGGTGCCTCCAGAAGGCGGCTTCTCCCTGCCGAGCCAGGGCACTGCTTTTTTGGCGCCCCCAACCACTTGGTGCCCTAGGCGATCGCCTAGTTCGCCTAGTGGTTGCACCGGCCCTGGGGACATATAAGGCAAAGGATTCTTCTTCCGCTACTTCCTAATCCTGAAGGAAGAAGGCCAAAGGGGGCCTCAGGCCCATCCTGGACCTGCGTGGCCTCAACAAGTCTCTCAAGAACTTGAAGTTCTGCATGGATTCCCTGGCCTCCATCATCCGCTCCATGGATCCGGGGGGACTGGTATGCCGCTCTCGACTTAAAGGACGCTTACTTCCATGTCTCCATATTCCCGGGCCACAGGCGCTTTCTGCGATTCATAGTGGCTGGGTGTTGCTTCCAGTTCATGGCATTACCCTTTGGCCTGTCCTAGGCCCCCAGGGTGTTCACAAAATGCGTGGTGCTGGTTGCAGCTTACCTGAGACGTCAGGGGGTCCAGATCTTCCCGTATCTTGACAACTGGCTCATCAAGGGCTGGTCCAATGGAGCCTCGACCTGGTGCAATCCATCTGCAATGATCTGGGCTTGTTAATAAACACAGAAGAGTCCACATTAACACCAGTCCAATGCATATTGTTTATCGGAGCAGTTCTCGACTCCACACGAGCCAGGGCCTTCCTTCTGGAGGCATGCTTCCAGGCCATGTCGGATTTGATTGCCCACGTAAAGAGCCATCCACCTACCACAGCCCACACATGCCTGCAACTGATGGGCCACATGGCTGCGTGCACATACGTGGTCCACCATGCCCATCTTCATCTATGAACTCTGCAGACATGGCTGGCCTCAGTCTATATTCCCGTGCCGAGCCACGTCCTTTCATCCTTGGACTGGTGATTGGATTGGGCGTTGGTGTTGCAGGGGGTTCCCTTCATGTTCCCGACTCCGTCGCTTACTCTGGTTTCAGACACATCGGACCTGGGCTGGGGAGCCCATCTGGGTGAGCTCAGCACCCAGGGCTGTTGGCTTCACAGCGATCTGGCCGTTCATATCAATGTTAGGAAGCTCAAAGCGGTTCACCTGGCCTGCCAGGCATTTTTGCTTCACCTGAAGGGCAGGGTGATGCAGGTCCTGATGGACAATTCAATCGCGATGTACTACATCAACAGGCAGGGCGGAGCCAGGTCTTCGGCCCTTTGTCAGGAAGCTCTCAGCCTCCGGGATTTTTGTGTGCGACATGCCATTCATCTGGTAGCCGCCCACCTGTCCGGAGCCAAGAATATACTGGTATATCGCCTCAGCAAGACCTTCTCATCTCGCCACGAGTGGTCGCTTCATCCAGAGGTGGTCAGCCTGATCTTCCACAGGTGGGGGACTCCCCAGGTGGACCTGTTTACGTCCAGACAGAACAGGAAGTGCCACATGTTCTGTTCTCTGCAGGGCAGGGACAAGGGCTCCCTGTCGGATGCCTTCTTGATTCCGTGGTCAGGAGCGCAGATGTACACCTTCCCGCCAGTGCCGCAAATACACAAGGTAAAGTAACACAAAGCATTGATCATTCTCATAGCTCTGGTGTGGTCTCATCATCACTGGTTCAGCATGCTGCTGAGTCTCTTGGCAGCCACCCTGCTGCAGCTGCCTCTTCGACTGGATCTGCTATCACAGAACCACAGCAACCTGCTGCACCCGAACCTAGAGTCACTGCACTTGGCAGCTTGGCTGCTGCATGGCTAAGTGCAGACGAATGGGGGTGTTCCACTGGTGTCCAGCAGGTCTTACTGTGCAGCAGAAAACCGTCCACCAGGGCTACATATGTGGAAAAGTGGAAGCAGTTCATGTGTTGGGCCACAGACCAACACATTCATGTGGATGAGGCCCCGCTGCAAGACATCCTGGACTATTTACTGCACTTTAAGCACCAGGGTCTGTCGCTATCTTCGATCAAGGTACACCTGGTGGCCATTTTGGCGTTCCACCCTCCGCTTCGAGGCAGGTCAGTCTTCACCCATCCCATGACGGGGAGCTTCCTGAAGGGGTTGTAGCACCTTTACCCGCATGTATGAGACCCGGTCCCCCCTTGGGACCTGAATCTTGTGCTGTCCAGGCTCATGGGGCCCACCTTCAAACTCTTGCTCCCTTCTGCTTCTCTCTTGGAAGGTGTCTGTCTTGGTTGCTATAACTTCGGCCTGTAGGGTGTCCAAGACCAGGACGCTCATGTCAAAGCTGCCCTAGACAATCTTCTACAAGGACAAGATCCAGCTGCGTCGACACCCGGCCTTTCTGCCCAAGGTTGTCTCCCAGTTCCACACTGGTCAGGACATTTATTTACCAGTTCTTTGTCCAAAGCCTCATGCAAAGTATGAGGAGAGCAGGCTGCATACCTTGGATGTCAGAAGGGCATTGGCCTTCTACATTGATAGATCAAGGCCATTCTGTAAGTCAACACTGTTGTTTGTTGCTGTCGCTGACAAGATGGAAGGTTGCCCAGAGTTAGCCCAGAAAATCTCATCTTGGATCATGGCCTGCATCCGCTATTGCTACGAGCTGGCAAGGGTGCCCCCGCTGGTGATCGTGATGGCTCATTTGACTAGGGCACAGGTGTCATCAGCTGCCTTCCTGGAGCAGGTGCTGATCCAAGAGATCTGTCAGGCTGGGACCTGGTCATCCGTTCACACGTTCGTGTCACACAATATGCGCTGACCCAGCAAGTGCGAGATGATGCCGGCTTTGGCAGAGCATGCTGCAAGCTGTGAGACTCTAAACTCTGAGTCCACCTCCGTTCATTCTGCTTGTGAGTCTCCTCGAACGGAATCTACATGAGTAAGCACTTGAAGAAGAAAAAACAGTTACCTATCTTTTGTAACTGTTGTTCTTCGAGATATGTTGCTAATGTCCATCCCATTACTCTGTGCATATCTCTCTATCAGTGTTATAAAGGCGGACAATTTATGAGTTTACCCTGGATAAGCTTTATACAGAGTAAAATGGATTTATTTGGGGTTTGGATTGGGATCTGGGTATCTGGGTGCTAGAGACAGGAGCACTTCTTAAGCTGTTTTCAGTTAAGTATGCAGTTTTGGGGGACGTGGTTCAGGCCTGGGTCTGTGTTTGCAGTAGGCTAGCATGTCTTGCTCTACAAGACAGGGTACTGAAGTCCCAAGGTGGCAGGGAAAACGGGCTCAGAGGTAGTCTCAGGACATCAGGTGGCAGTCCCAAGGGGGTCTCTGTGACCCAAACCGTCACACCGGACATTTTAAAAAGGTTTTGTCATCAGTGACAGGGAGGCTATTGGGAATAAGAGGATGGGGAGGAGGTGGGTCTAGTCAAAGGGAGGTGGAGATGAAGGTGGGGCCAGGACTCTGTTTCAGCTGACGAATCAGTTGGCTTCTGTCTTTTAAGAAACAGCCCCTTGTATGGTGCAACTAGTTCTCAGATGGAGTTTCCCTGGACTATGCTGGGAATTGCCCTGAGCTGAGGCTTCTGTCACAATACGAATTTGGGTGGCTGAGTCCCTTCCCAGCTCATTTCACCTGTGTGTCCTGTAACAGCTTCTTACAGTATGTTCTCTGTTTTCCCTCCCAGTTTCCCCTGCTCAGTTGGGCCATGGAGAGTAAAGCAGCTGTGGAGGCTGAGCCAAATGGGGGCATGGTGCTGCTCAAAGAAGAGAAGCCTGAAATGGAGGCAAGAGGCCAGTGGAGTAATAAAATAGAGTTTATGCTATCCGTGGCTGGGGAGATCATCGGCCTGGGCAATGTCTGGAGATTCCCTTATCTCTGTTACAAAAATGGAGGTGGTAAGTCCATAAAAGTGCAGGCTACGTGAGATGTTGGCCGAGGAATATGAGCACCAGAGCAGGCGCTTTCATCCGTTCATATATACATGCCCATATATACGGCGCTTTCATCCGTTCATATATACACGATGCTGCCTTTGGTGGGACACAACTGAGAGTATCAATGCAGGACAAATTGCTAAGAGCATGGCAGTTACATCCCCCTTCACTGTTGCTTCTTGCATGACTTGCTTAATTCCTTAGTCCAGTAAAACTGCAGTAAGTTCTTCACTACTAAGGCATGCCAAGCCAGCCAAACAGAGAGGGCTTTGGTCTCACCCCACTGGCTAACCATAAGTCATACAATTCCCTTAGACACTCCAGTTTCCCAGAATCACCACCAGTGCCACTCGTTATGGGGATGAATGGTTACGAAAACCAATACCCCAGTAAAAGAAAAAAGGTTCTCCCGATCCCAAAGGACCAAGCCCCAGATCCAGGTCAATATACCAGTTAGATCTTACCGACAAATCATGCTGTTGCCAATCCTTTAGAATCTAAAATCTAAAGGTTTATTCATAAAAAGAAAGAAATATAGATGAGAGCTAAAATTGGTTAAATGGAATCAATTACATACAGTAATGGCAAAGTTCTTGGTTCAGGCTTGTAGCAGTGATGGAATAAATTGCAGGTTCAAATCAAGTCTCTGGAGTACATCCACAGCTTGGATGGGTCAAGTCCTTTGTTCAGAGCTTCAGTGTAGCACAGTTCCTCTAGAGGTTAGAAGCAGGCTGGAAGACAAGATGGAGGAGCTGCAGCAGCCTTTTATAGTCTCTTGCCATGTGGCCTCTGCTTTCTTTGTCCTAAAAACAAGCTGTCTAGCTCATGGCATGGAAAAACCTTGGAGTTCTGTCTATAGGTGTGTCCCTGCATGCCTTGCTGAGTCACAAGGTGTATCTGCCTTCTCTCAATGGGTCACTTGTGTAGCTGATGGTCCTTAATGGGCATCAAGGAAGCTAGGCTGTGCTGATGCCAAATTGTCTGGGGTGCCACCCAGAAGAATAGCACAATTTTGAAATACAGACAGTATAAAGCCAATACTTATAACTTTAAATACCAAAATGATGCATGCAAACAGATAGCATAATCATAACCAGCAAACCATAACCTTGTCTTAGACACCTTATTTGACTCCCTTTATACAAGATTTGGTGCCACTACAGGACCTGGGTTGCAACAATGACCTATATGGTCCCAGTTTGTGTCAGTAATGTCACAGCCCATACATAGAGACCAAGCCCACCCCCATGCCTTTAATGAAGCAATCACGCAGTGAGGTAAAATGAGCTGTGGGAGACAAATCTCACTCCATGGGTGGATGCTCAGAGTAGCTCTGCCAGACAGAGAGGAGCAATCCAGCTTTCAGTAGGCTCCCCATCTTAATAATGGATGAACCTCTAGGTTTGCCATTTGTAGAGGCAGCCAACAGGTGAGATGCTTATCTAAAACCACAGCTGAATTATCAGAACCTTTGGGGGCTCCCACTCCCAGGGAACCCACCCTGACAGTTCCCCCACCCAACAGTCCCTGGGACCCTTCCTCCCCAGCCCCAATGCATTCCCCCTCCTCCCAGCTATTCCTAAACTCTCTCTGATCATAGCTGATCTTCTGGCAGGGGAAAATGCTTTGTTGCTGTTATCTCCTTCAGGGCCTGGGCTCCTCCTCAAGGGCACCTGGACAACTGCTCCCCTATCCTGTATGTTCTGTGACCCAGCTGGTGCTCCTGTCCCCACTAAACTCACCCTTCAGGCCTGACTGGCCCATGATTGTAACCTTTCTCACAGTACTTTGGTATTTTTGGTAATCCCTGACAGGAAAAACACTTATTCCAACAGAGGTGTGTTGTCCCCAATGAATTCTAAAGCTGAGTAAGGTCACCAGATTTTCAAAGCCAAAGGGCAAGGCACTTGTCCTGGTGGTAAAGATGAATTTGAGGAGCTTCAGGAAGGTGTGCCTGGGACGATGTGCAAGGAAAGGATACCTCTACCTCTTTCCCAGTAATAGATCTATAAGTAGCCAACTCCTGGCCCGGGGAAACATTCCCACAGAAAGAGTCCATCCCCCTTCACTGCTGCTTCTTGCATGACTTGCTTAATTCCTTAGTCCAGTAAAACTGCGGTAAGATCTTTAACATGGTTAAAAATGAGATTTTTCTAGTGACCATAAAATGAAACACAGAGCAGCGGGGGGTGGGAGGTAATTGAACGTCAGCAGTTTGTTTATAAAAATGGTTGGATTTTGATTTATTAAGGAAAACTAAAACTAAAAGAACATAGTCCTGTAAGGTATTAAGAACACACCTTGTGCTTCCATTCCATGGTCAGGTCCTGAGATAATGTTTACAATCATATATACCACTCCCCCTTTGACGTCCCATTCAGTAAAGGCCAGGTCACAGTGACCTTGCATTTGGATCTCTTTTCCCAGGTGAAGCAGGAGTATCAGGATTGATAATCCTTGCAGTCTCTATCGTGACCAGTGTAACTGAAAAGACTACTTGCATACTTTCTGTTGCATTAAAAATTACTGAATTATTTGCCTCAGTGATTTTTTCTAATGTAGCTGTAACATATCAGGCTGTGATCTTATTAGATCTCTCAAACTGAACACAGCTGGGTCTGGGCAAAACTTGGCTGGGAGACTACCACAGAAAATTCAAGATGCTGCAGAAAGTGGCTTTCATGTTTTAGTACAAAGCACCATTCCCATTGAGAACCAATGGCTCAGAACTGTGTTGGGGGGAGGAGGGGGTCGGCTGACCACTTGTACAGTCATGAGAGCTTCCATGTCATTTTTTGCAAAAGTAGATGTTAACCCTGGTATCCTGGCCAGCACTTTGGGAACTTCAGAATGGAAAGAAGCTTTATAAATGTAAGGTGGCACTCTTATAAATGATTATTGATTAAATTGATCAGCCCAGGACAATCAGAATCAGAAAACAGGGTATGGGATCTCCCTATGGATTCATCTAATCAAGTACTGGATAATACTGTTGCCTCACAAGAACTCTGACTGAAGGTCTTTTATGTGGCTGTGCAGTGAGGTGGTGTGGCTTCCTGCCACCCCGGAGAGAGACGAGTCTCTCCGGACACCAGAGTGGGCGGAGCCAGGGAGCTCTAAGACCGCCCCCAAGGGGGTCAGGCGTTGCCCCGGAAGTATAAAGGCCCGACCTCAGAGCTCACTGGGAGAGCAGCTGCCGGGGAGGTCTGATGCCTCTGGCCCAGCTCACAACTGGGAAACCCCAGCGGCATGCAGTAAACCCGAGGACTGGCCTGACCTGCCCCGTGCTAGCTACCCGGAGGAGTTGCCAAGCCTGCCCCGTGCCAGCTACCCGGAGGAGTAGCTGAGTCTGTCCCACGCCAGCTACCAGGAGGAGCTGCCGAGTCTACCCCTCGCCAGCTATCCCAAGGAACCCATGGTGCTGGACCCCCCTGAGGACACCACCCTGACGCAGGTTCCTCAAGAGGGGGAGTCTGGAAGTAGCACGGAGGCAGCTGACCCTAGTCTGGCTGCAACACTGCCAGAACCCATGTCCGTGTGTTGCAGCCAGGATCCCCACTGATGCAGCTGCTGCTGGTAGGGCCCCGGGTTGGGACGCAGTGGAGTGGGAGGGCCTGCATCCCCCCTGCCACCCAACTCGCGGGTGGCAGTCTCCCCCTCTCCCAGGCCCTTTGGAACCTAGGGCCTGGGCTCACTGTGTATCTACTGTTGTTGCTCAGCCCTGGCCTGAGGGCCTGACTCACCATTGCCTCGCCCTGACCTAGGGTCTGGGCTTACTGTGTTTATTTCTGCCCTCACAAAGGCCGCAGAGGAAGACTCCCGTGCCCAAACTAATTCTCCACAAGACATCTTCCCGAGTTTAGTGAGGTGGTATGGTTCCCCACCACCCCGGAAAGAGATGAGCCCTGGCTAATCTGTCTACACGTGGTGGAGAACATGGGCATGATCACTCGACCCCTGTGAGAAGGGGTCTCGGGGGGAACGTACCCCAGAAAAAGCCATGGATATGGACAAACTTATCAAGTTCCTGACTGAGAGTCAGGAGTGGCAGCTTCCTCGTGGCTGAAGCGCCGGTGGGGCCAGCTACCAGAGCCCACCCCCAGGGCCAGAGCACCCTAAACCAAAAAAGAAAGGGGGCATTCAGACCGAAGTGCGGAGTCTCCCATGCGGGCAAGAGGCTAGCTCGGGGCTTTGGGCCAAATGCCCTAAACTCCCACCTCAACAAGGATCCATGCCCACTGTATCGAATGTTCTGAGGACCAATCGGAGTCCACCAGGGGCCCAACAGGAGCCCCCACCTACGGTGGTCGCCCGGAAATCGGGAAATATGGCCACTTGCAGTGTGACTGCACTGAGATGGACTGCAGCTTCGGCCACGTCTGTGCGGGAGAGACCCGGGCCCGGCTGCCACAGGTCCCCAAGATCACGGTTCTGGTAGTTGTCGGGGACCACCTAACCCTGGCCCTGATCAATTCAGGCTATGGCCAGATGCTAATCCGTCAGACCTTGGGGCCCCGGGCCAACCCCCACTTGGGGACGATCTGGCTGCAATGCATCCATGGCAGCGTGCGGCCCTCCCCCAGTGCCTGGATCCCGCTAACGGTGTCCTCGGTCACACAACAGATGGTTGTCAGCCTGGCTCCTCGACTAGCCTACCAGGTGATTCTGGGGTGGGACTGGCCTGTGTTCGAGGAGATCCTCCGCTCGACCCCTGCACTGGAAGGATATTGCCCCGAGGCCCAATTGGAGGAGGAGACCCCGGACCCTGAGGGAGGGACCGAGGAAACTGAGGACCCCCTGCCTGGGCCGACTGTTGAACCCCGACTTAACACCAACTTTTGCCATGATCAAAGAGCAGACCCCACTCTTAGTTGGGTCTACAAATGACTAGCCGCTGTTGATGGAGCCGTGATCGACCCACATTGTGCATATCAGTGGCCCTGTTTCGAGCTATGTCATGACCGTCTTTACCAGGCGGAACGGGATCCACACACGGAAGAACCATGGACGCAGCTGCTGGTGCCTCGGTGCCACCGACGAGCAGTAATGAAGCTCGCACACGACATCCCTGCCGCAGGGCACTTGGGCCATGAAAAGACCCTTGCCCGGATTTTGACATGGTTCTTCTGGCCCAGCGTTCACCAGGAGGTGAGGAACTATTGTAGCTCCTGCCCAGAGTGCCAGTTAGTGCCTTCCCCCACGGGTGCCCAATGCCCCTTTGGTTTCCATGTCCATAGTGGAGATGCCATTTGAGCGGGTGGCCATGGGCCTGGTGGGCCCGCTCCCGAGAAGTGCCGCGGGATTCCACTATGTGCTGGTCATCATTGATTATGCTGCCCATTTTCCCCTAGGCTGTGCCACTGCGGAGCACCACTGCCTGAACCATTGCTGATGAACTAGTGAAGATCTTCTCTCGAGTGGGCCTGCCCTGGGAAATCCTAACGGACCAGGGCACCAATTTCACCTCCTGGCTGTTGCAGCAGGTATGCGAGCTCCTGGGATTTAAACAGTTACACACTTCCGTCTACCACCACAGATTGACAGGCTGGTGGAACGATTCAATCGGACCCTGAAGGAGATGTTGTGCAAGTTTCCCCCTGAGGAGCGACGCCTGGGACCAGATACTCCCACCCTTACTGCTGGCAATCTGCAAGGTACCCCAGTCATCAACAAAATTTTCCTTGTTCGAGCTACTATATGGCCACCGCCCATGGGGCCTGTTAGATTTAATGTAGGAGACATGGGAGCAATCTCCATCTCCAACCCAGGACCTCCTGAAGTATGGTCTCCAGCTCCAGGAGCACCTTGTTCAGGCTGGAACCCTAGCACACAAAAACTTAAAAGCTGCGCAGGAAGTCCAGGCACGAACCTATAACCAGGAAGCACGGGTCCGTGCCTTTGAGCCAGGTGATCGGGTCCTGCTCCTCCTACCGTCGAGCGAATCGAACCTACTGGCCCTTGGGCAGGGACCCTATGAGGTGGCCCGGAAGGTCGGGCCCGTCCCCTATGAGGTCCACCAGCCCGACCGGTGCAAGAAGACCCAGCAATATCATGTGAATCTATTGAAACCATGGCGAAAGCGGGAGGGCCTATTAATTAACCCTTACCCGCCAGAACCAGAGTTGCGGCCCAGTGCGCCCCTGACAGAAGACCCTGCAGGCCCCCAGCTCGGCGACACACTCACAGAGGAGCAGCGAAAGCAGGCCCAATGCCTCCTGCAGGCTTTCAGGAGAACCTTTATGGTCCTACCTGGTTACATGACCCTGGTCCATCATGCCATCCAGACCAAGCCAGGGAAGGTAATCTGCTGCACCGAATGCGGCAGGAGGTCGAGGAGGAAGTACAGGCCAGGCTAGCCCTAGGAGTCATCGAGCCGCTGCAGAGTGAGAGGCGCAGTCCAGTGGTCTTGGTTCCCAAACCTGATGCAACACGGTACTCCTGTATAGACTTCCGGGGAGTCAACACCATCTCAAGGTTTGATGCATATCCTCTGCCCCGTGTGGATGAACTGCTTGGCCGCCTAGGGGAGGCCTGTTTCATCACCACCCTCAACCTCAGTAAGGAGTACTGGCAGATCCCGCTCGACTTCATCTCCAAGGAGAAGACGGCATTCGCCACCCCAACAGGACTTTACCAATTTACCCGAATGCCCTTCTGCCTCCTTGGTGACGTTCCAACAACTAATGGATCACCTTCTATGGCCCCATCAAAACTATGCTGCGGCGTATTTGGATGATGTAGTCTACAGCTGCCAGTGGGGGGACCACCTGGAATGTGTAGCCGCGGTCCTGAGATCCTGGTGAAAGGTGGGACTAATGGCCAATCCAAAAAAGTGTCGCATTGGATGGCAAGAGGCAATGTACCTCGGATACACCATAGGGGGAGGATGAGTGAAATCCCTTATGGGAATGGTTCAAGCACTGGCAGCCTGGCCGCCACCGACCGCGAAACGCCAAGTGCGGCAATTCCTGGGGCTCACCGGCTACTATCGGCGATTCATCCCCCCCGTTTGCTTCCATCGCAGCCCCCTTAATGGGACTTTTGACTAAGGACAGCCCCCGGTGCGTGCTGTGGACCCAAGAATATGAAGACGCCTTCCAGACACTCAAGGAGTGCCTCTGCCAGGAGCCGGTCCTATATAGCCCACAATTTGACTGTGACTTCATCCTCCACACGGACCTCCTTCCATCCTACCTCAGAGGTAGGGCTTGGGACCGTCCTGTCCCAAGAAGACCATCCGGTCTTGTATTAAATTATTCCCCCGCGAGAAGAACTACGCGGTAATAGCTGCAAGTGCTTCTTTCTCTAAATGGGCCTGTGACAACCTGCGGTACTACCTTCTCAGGGCCCCATTTACACTAGTCACGAACCATGCCCCACTCCAGTGGTTAACCAGAATGAAAAACAGTAGACTAAAGTGCTGATACCTGGCATTACAGCCCTATGCTTTCACCATCCGGCACAGGGCCGGCAAAGACCATGCAAATGCCGACTTCCTCTCCTGCCTAGGAGGGATGGAAGAGCCTGGCCCCAATGAGTGGGAGCCGGATTTGAGGGGATGTGTGTGTAGTGGGGCGGTGTGGTTCCCCATCGCCCCGGAGAGAGACGAGTCCCTCCAGACACCAGAATTGGTGGAGCCAGGGCGCTCTGAGCCCGTCCTCCCAGGGGGTCAGGCGTTGCCCCAGAAGTATAAAGTTCCAACCTCAGGGCTCACTGGGAGAGCAGCCGCCGGGGAGGCCAGACACCTCTGGCCTAGCTCGCGATTGGGAAACCCCAGCGGCCTGCAGTATACCTGAGGACTGGCCCGACCTGCCCCGCGCCAGCTACCCGGAGGAGTTGCTGAGTCTACCCCTCGCCAGCTATCCCGAGGAACCCCTAGTGCTGGACCCCCCTGAGGACACCACCCTGACCCAGGTACCTCAAGAGGGGGAGTCTGGAAGTAGCCCAGGGACGGCTGCGACCCTGCCAGAACCCATGTCCGTGTGTTGCGGCCAGGATCCCCACTGATGCAGCAGTGCGTCCTCTGCTTGCTGCTAGGGCCCCAGGCTGGGACGCAGCGGAGTGGGAGGCCCTGCGGGTGGCAGTCTCCCCCTCTCCTAGGCCCTTTGGAACCTAGGGCCTGGGCTCACTGTGTATCTACTGATGTTGCTCAGCCCCGGCCTGAGGGCCTGACTCACCATTGCCCCGCCCTGACCTAGGGCCTGGGCTTACTGTTTATACTGTTGTCGCTCAGCCCCTGCCTGAAGGCCTGAGCACCTGACTCACCGTTGCCTCGCCCTGACCTAGGGCGTGGGCTTACTGTGTTTATTTCTGCCCTCACAAAGGCCGCAGAGGCAGACTCCCGCGGCCGAACTAATTCCCCATCTTCCCGAGTTTAATGAGGCGCTGTGGTTCCCCGCCGCCCAGGAGAGATGAGCCCCGGCTAACCTCTCTACAGGCTGTGAAAGGAGCAGCTGCCTTTAGCTGAATATGTACAGGATCTATGTTTCCTACTTCATGAACTTGGACTGATCCTGCCTGGATGTGACGGGTCTGCTCGCCCTAGGTCCCCTGCAGCTATAGTACATCTGTGTTTAGGGAATATTTTGATGTTGCTCTTTATTTTAACATTATTGCCATAAGAACAAGGGGAAATGCACTTTATTTAGACCCAATTGTTAATTATCCGTCATAGGAAGGAATGTGGGTCTGCAAGACTGATTCTGGCAAGGGAGAAACAGATCTAAGAAGAACCAGATTTGCCTTTGAGAGAAGGAGCCCAAATCTTTGTTCCAAACATCTGTGTTTTTTATCAGAGGACGGGGGCAAAGGATGGGAATATATACCATTTGTTCCCTGTGTCTGATGAAGCCCTGAGGGCTGTTGTTTCAACCAGGAGGGAATGGCATTTGCCTGCCTTGTGTCTGCCCTTAGACTGAGGTGGGTGGGTTCTTAAGTGTGGAATCCAGCTGCTCTCTTTGGAAAGGCAAATTAGGAGATGGGAGAAGGAAAGGCTGGAGACTAAACCAAGATCCTGGCAGCAATTTAGAATCAACTTGAGAGAGCTGTGCTGTTACTGCTAGGTAAGGAGGACCCAGTTTGGATACAATAAGATTTCCTCTTACCTTCCCAAACCTTTGCTCAAACCAGTTTTAAAGGTTGAAAAGTATAGTCAATGTTTATTTTCTGTGGGCTTTTCTTATCTTCTTGCCTTTCTGCTCTTCCAGGTTCTGGCCAGGACCAGATGCAGAAGTGCTGAAATAGCATGAGGATGGTGGTGCTTGTGATATTTCCAGGACAAGAAGAAGAAAGCCGAGAGGCTGTTCTCTTGCAAGATCTACACAGTTTTGCAGGCCAACAGGTCCATTTAGTTCAGATAGGCATCTACATTCAAGGGTGTTTACCTGAGCCTTGATGGTACATCTTGCTTGTTCGTGTAGCTGGTAATGAGTGGTTATGATAATGTAGAGTAGTAAAGATTCCTCCATTTGCCACCCACCCACCCACTCTCTCTCTCTGCAGGTGCCTTCTTCATCCCCTACCTTATCTTCCTCTTTAGTTGTGGGATCCCAGTGTTCTTCCTGGAGACAGCTCTAGGACAGTACACCAGCCAGGGAGGGATCACTGCCTGGAGGAAGATCTGCCCTCTCTTTGAAGGTGAGTCAATGAATGGGTTTCTCAGGTCCATGATGGAATTTCTGGGTCTCATAGGCTTTTGTATGAAAAATTTCAAAAGGTCTAGTTCTTGTTCTGAAGCAGAATAAAAACAAATGACCAAAACCTTGACTTTTTTTGTTAAATGGAATTCTAGTTTTCTGGACAGCCCTTTAAAACCACAGAGAATTGACCTCACAACTATTCTGAAGTTTTATGATCCCCATTTTACAGAGGGGGAAACTGAGGCAGAGAAAGATTAAGTGATTTGCTCATATTGGCATTTGCTGATATTGGCAGAGCCAGGATTAGAAGCTACCTCCTACAATCATAGAAGATTAGGGTTGGAAGAGACCTCAGGAGGTCATCTAGTCCAACCCCCTGCTCAAAGCAGGACCAACCCCAACTAAATCATCCCAGCCAGGGCTTTGTCAAGCTGGGCTTTAAAAACCAAAATGATGGAGATTCCACCACCTTCCTGACCCTATGCTTTTTCTCTGGCCTCATTCTTTGGGCATGGGATGTAGTTAGCAGTGAAAACCCTTTTTATTTCTGATTTCTCCCCCATGATGAAACACATCTGGATCTCCCACCCTCAACCTGAATCTTACAGGATTCTTTGGTGAACCAAATTGCTCATTAATCTGCCATGCCCCCAGCTCCAGTGGGATGGTTTAGGGCACTATTTGAAGCTAAAGTCTGCTATATTTGGGGCTAGCCTGGGGCCATTTCCTAACCCCTGTCACTTTCCCTCTTAGGAATTGGATATGCCTCACAAGTCATTGAATCCTATCTGAATATCTACTACATCGTCATCCTATCTTGGGCTATCTTCTACCTGTTCAGCTCCTTTACTGCTGTGCTTCCCTGGGCCACCTGTGATAATCCTTGGAACTCAGGTACAACTTCAGCTAGTCTGCTTCTGGAAAGAGGATCTGGGTTTGAAAACTTTCCATCAAAACTGCTTTTTGACAGAAAATTGGGTATTTGATTAAACAAATTTTTTTGCACTGCTTGCTTTATGTGGAAAATTTTGAAATTTCATTGAAATATTCAGCTGAAAACGAAAATATTTTTTTTTCAATATGCAGTTGTGGGCCAAATAGGTGGTGTTTGGTTTCCTCATGTGCAGGGCTGGATTTACACCTTGCATGCCCCGAGGCAGCTCCCCTCCCCTTCCCTGGTGTCTAGGCAGCTGCAGGGCTCCCATCTCCAAGCTCCCCGCCCTGCCCGCAGGGGCTCAGAGCTCCAGAGTCTCCTGCCACCCGTGACTCTGGGGCCCCTCACTGCCTATGGAGGCTGGGAGCAGCGGAGGGCCCCCCGCCACCTGTGGCAGCCAGGACCTGCAGGGTCCCCCCATGGTTTGTGGCAGCTCGGAGATCCGGGGGCCCCATTGTCCCGCAGCACCCGGGAGCTGTGGGGTGATCCCCAGCCACCCGCAGCAGCTGGGAACTGTGGCAGATTAGCCACTGGGCCAATGGGGCCCATGCCCAGGGGTCCTTGTCAATTGGGGGCCCCCGGAAAAATGGGTGCTCTGCTGCCCGCCCTGGCGCTCCTGTCCAGGAGCGGCATCAGGGTGCGGGGGCTTGCCCCACTCCCCTCACCCACCTGGCGCTCCTGATGGGGAGGGAGAGAAGCCCCCCATGCCCTGACCCCTCTCCCCAGCAGGAGTAGTGTGTGTGTGTGTGTGGGGGGGTGTGGCAGGGCAAGCCCCCGTGCTCTGACCCCATTTCCCCAGCAGGAATGTGGTGGCGGGGGGCGGGTGGCGGAGGGACTGCAGATGGAAGCGGAGGGGAGGGGCCCCCACTTGCTCTGGCCCAGAGCCCCACAAACCCCTTATATCCGCCTCTGGCCGGGAGCTCTAGGGGTCCCCGCTGCCTGGCAGCAGTCAGGAACTGTGGGGTACGCCCACAGCAGCTCAGAGCTCCTAACCATTGCGGGCGGCGAGGGTACTGCCACTTTTAACTTTTAGGCATCCCGCCACCCAAACTCCTCCACCCACAGACCCCCCACTGCCCCAACACACACATACCTCCCCCACGTCCCACTGCCCAGCGCCCCTCCACAAACCCCCCATTGCCCAAAGCCTCCCCAGAGACCTACTCTCCTGTGCTCTGCCCCCTGGCTGCACTCACCAGCCCCACTGGGAGGTGACTGTGTCTGCTGGGCTGAGCGAGGAGTGCTCCAGCAGGGTTGCATGGGGCCATCTGCCACTCAGCCAGCCCTGGCCCCACCCCTGCTGGGACCTGGGAGTGGCAAAAATTGAATTTTTAGGCATCCCTAGTCATGTGCCTAATGGGAAATCCAGCCCTGCTCAGTGCCCATTCTTCTCTATGGGCTGAGTTCCCCAGCTAGACTACTTCTCCCATGATGCACCATGGTCAGGATGGAGCAGCCTTCTGTCACCATGAGGAGAGACCATGGTGCATCATGGGTTAGCTAGTCTGACCAGGGAACTCGGCTCATAGTGGGAGCATGCGGCATCCAAACTACAACTCTTATGGCAGCATTTCTGAATCAAAATGTTTTGGTTTTCGATTTTTCAAAATTTTCAGCGGGGAAAAAAGCCCATTTTCAAAGCAGCTTTAGTCTGGAGTCCTCACCCCACTCTAAGCCATGGAAGGAGCTTTTCACTGGAGCTGGCGCTCCCCTTATCTAGTGTAACGGGGTACAGCACAACCAACTCACTGCACCTCAGACCCTCAAGTATCTGGGCAGCCTCCATCACAGCAGAGAACTATTTGTTCAATCAGTCTTTGGCTCACTCAGGCCAGGTCTGTGCTAGGAGTGCACTGTCGTTATAGCTGCACCAGTGTACTGTACAGGCAAAGCACTTCTTATATGGTTGCAGCTTATACTGGCAAAATTGTGCTTTTTCCAGTGTAGCTTATTCTGGCCCCCCCTCTCATTCCCTAAGTAAAATAAGCTATGCTGGCAAAACTCTTAGTCTCAAATCAAGGTTGAATGTTTTTCTGAAAGATTTGCTCTGGGGATTATTTTGGGGAAGATCTATGGCCTGTGTCATCCAGGAAGCTAGACTGCATGGTTGCAGTGGTCCCTTCTGGCTGTGGAATCTGTGAATCTATGAAAGTTCCCCTCTCCACGTTCTTTCGACTCACAGTCCTTGACATACCCCTGACAGGGCTCACTGCCTTCCCCAAAGGGGGATCCAACTCTCGCAGCTCCACATGCAGAGCTTTATTTGTGGGGAAAGCCAAGGAAATTACTATCTGAGCTATCTCTTAACATTAAGTAACTTTCCAGCCTGGGTAACCATAGTTGCTGTCCCACAATACCCTGCATTCCACCACCATCTGGGTTCTGTTCAGTAGGGAGCCTCCTCTTCCTGCATCCCTCTGGCTGTTCCTGGACTAGGATTCTGGCAGGGGTGGAGGGCGAGTGATGTTTTACAGGGCAGCTTGAAGTGTTTGTGTGCAGCTGGAGTGAACAAGGAGGAGGCGGGAGGGAGCACAAGGCTGAGAAGCATGAGAATTTTCCGGGCTCACTGACTTGTTTCCTCCTTTGTAGATTGCTGCGTGGACTTTCTGAATCACTCTAACTTGGAGAACTGGACAGCGCCTGCTAATGCCACCTCCCCAGTTACTGAGTTCTGGGAGTACGTACCCCGGATTCAGACTCCTCTCTCCTGAAGAGGTCACAGCAGTGTGAATACTCCAAATGGAGTCTCTGTAAGGCCAAAAAAGATGTGCAAGTGCCACATCTCGGAACCCAGACCTATGGCACGGCGCACGTCATGGGGCACATGAGCACTCTCACTGCACACGCAAACTTGCATACGGACTGGGCATACTGATTGACAGAAATCCATGGGGCACGTGGGCACTCCCTGGACACACGCTGTCTCACCCCATGCACCACACAGCCCCAGAGCTCAGACATTGACCCTAGCCGAGAACGCTTGCACGTACGCACACGGACACGTTCTTTCTGACATGGCAGATGCACTCAGCTCCCGCAGGTTGTGGATACACAGGGCCTGAACACATGTTGGTAGGGCCACCCTGACAGACACCTAGTGGGCACGCATGTACGCACACCAAGTGTGATGATCTATCTAGAGCAGGAGGCCAGGTGGGAGAGGGCTGGAAGACATTCTGCAAAGATGCTCTGCGGTGAAGCAGGAAGAGACAAAGTAGCTTTTCCCCTTATTCTAATTGAGTTCCTTGTTCAGTGTTAGAGGAAAGCAACTTTTTCTGTGATTCTTTACTGCTGGGCACTTATGCACCGTGTGAAAACACCCAGAGAGCAAACAGACATAGCACCTGGGAGGAGTGCTGCAAGGAGAAATGCTACAGAATACACTGTAGGGAATCATCCGGCACTGGCCCTAAGAGGGCGTGAACAAAATATGGGACTTGTAATTCAAAGGACTCACACTCACAACCGTGCCCCCACCCAATCTAGAGAAGTCACAGGAAGCAAGTGGGAATCAGGGGCTCAATCACAATAGCACGTTTTCATCCATCTCTTTCAAAGTGCTTTGCAAAGGTGATCCGTATCCATTATCCCACTTAGCCTGTCTGGGTATGTCTACACAGCAACTAGACACCCACGGCTGGCCTGTGCCAGGTGACTCGGACTTGCGGGGCTGTTTCATTGCTGTGTAGACATCCAGGTTTGGGCTGAAGCCTGTGTTCTAGAACCCTGCAGAGTGGGAGGGTCCCTGAGTCCAGGAATCTACATTGCAGTGAAACAGCCCTGCAGCTAGGGTGACCAGATGTCCTGATTTTTAAAGGGACAGTCCTGATTTTTGGGTCTTTTTCTTATATAGGCTCGTATTACCCCCTCCTCCCCCACCACCACCTATCCCAATTTTTCACATTTGCATTCTGGTCACCCTACCTGCAGCCAAAGCCTTTCGAGCCTGAGTCAGTTGGCACGGGCCAGCTGCGGGTTTTTCTTTGCTGTGTCTCAGCTTCCCCATTGGTGAAGTGACTTGTAAAATGCCACAAGAGGAGTCAGAGGAAGAGCTGGGACTTCAGTGTCAGGCTCCTGTGCTCTGGGCCCATCCATCAATAGCTACAGAAACCATTGTGATTTCAGTACAATGTTGCCAGCTACCAGGGACCCACTGAGTTTTGGGGCGGTTTTGGCCCGGAAGGCACAGAGTTGTCATAGATATTAGGGTAGTGAGAGGCTGCAGGGGAGCTGTCTGGACATGGTGGTCAGCTCTCACATGGTCCCCGTTAGGCTATGTTTACACTATGAGCGAGGGGTGTGGTCCCAGCTCTTGTAGATATACTGGTGCAAGCTCTCATTGGAGCTAGCATGCTTAAAATAGTAGTGTAGCCATGGTAGCATAGTCCATAACCATAAGTGTTCCTAGAGGGAGCCACAGAACATGGGGTGGTTGGAGGAAACAAAGTAGCCAGCAGGTGAATGGGAGCCATTGATGATACCGGGGGGCTGCAGGGGAGACTGCTGATGGAGTGTGTCCTGCGAGGCAGCCAAAGGGATTGCAGTGATGTGAGACTGGGAGTGACTGTGCTGTGAATGCTTGGGGGCTGCAATGGGGCTATTGAGGGCTTTGGGAGAGTTGGAGAGCCCAGGCTGACTAAAGGGGAGGTGGGATTGCGGGGGCCAGGCTCCTTGGGGATTCCAGAGAGACCTGAGGCATTATGGTGACCAAGAATACAGTCTTGCTGTGAGGACTAGGGTGATTGGAAGCAGCAGTGATGGGGGAGATTGGGCAGCCGTGCTATGGGATGTGTATGAAAATTCTGGGCTGGAGGCTGTTGGAAGAGTCAAGTCTGGGATGTTAACCTTTCTCTCTCCTCCGGCACTGGCAGGAATCGAGTCCTGGGACTCTCAGACGGTATTCACAATCTGGGCACTCTGCGCTGGGAGCTGGCTCTCTGCCTCTTGCTCGCCTGGGTCATCTGCTACTTCTGCATCTGGAAAGGAGTCAAGTCCACAGGCAAAGTAAGAGCAAACTCTGTCCCCTTAGTCCCTAAACCTCCTCCTAGCTGCCATTATATCTCTTCTCCACCTTCTTAGCCTTCTCCATGATACAGAGAGAGAAGAAGAAAGGAGGCAGGGACCACACAAGACATAGGGCCATACTCAGATTGGCATGGGTGGGTGCAACTGCATTGAAGTCACAGCTGCTTATGCTGGGTCTGAATTTACTCCATTATGAGAAGAGCAAAGAAAGTCAATCAAACAGAGAGGAGACAAGGGAAAGTGCTTAGAAGAAATGGTGAAATCCTAGACCAGCACTGTCCACTGTAATGGTGAAATTTTATGAAAGATGCTGCTTCACCATTCGCAACACACAATCATCCAGTTGCTGATGCACAGTCCCCAAGTGGTCTGGTGGCTTTTGCAACATTAGCTTGTTTTACTGTCAAATCTCCAATCACCAATAATAAATACCAGAGCTGAGTGAATAACCCACTAGAAATAATCTCCTTAGGGGATTCTACTCAGTTACTTCCCATTTCCTCATTATTTGTAATTGCTCAGTTTGGGGTTTTTTGTCTTCTTTAACTCAATGGATTGCTCACAAACAGGGTGCTGCTGTGAGCATTCCACACTCGATATTGAAAATTTGAGCTGGCCTGGCTGGTTGTGATTGCATAAGTCACATGTTATTGTTTCTATTCCTGGATTGGATGAGCATAACATATTTCACATGGGAGGCCTAAAGAAGCCACTTGGGCTTTAATGGTGCAGGGCTGGAATATAACCCCCTGAGCAGTGGTGAGGGTAGGTTATACTACTCAGGGTTGGTCTTGCACATTTCTAGAGGACGTGTGACAATCACTGAGGTGTGAGTGACCAGTTTCTTCAATCCCCTTCTTCCATAAAAGGTGTTTCCCACTATTTGCTCTCTCTCCATCCACGAAGCTCCCATCACTCTCACCTTTTTTGCCGATACAGATATTGGGACACATCCTTCACAATAGACACATCTCTTTAGTTCTGCGTCAGTGAGCTGCTGAGTCCACAGGGCTGTCTTCATCTCCCATATTTACAATCTTTTTACCACTGTGCTCCTTGGCTCAACTTTCATATGGGAACGTGTGGAGCCTGCAAGACTCTTTGCCTTTAATGGAATTTAACTGAATTGTTCTCTCCTGCTTGCTGCATATGTGTGGAGACACAGAGAACTCAATTAAAATCCATGTCTCCTACCCACTCGTCTCTCTTTGCACTTAAGAAAACAATCAAATAGTGAAGTATAAATATACAGATTTAAAATGATGTTGAAAAATTGGAAAGGTTTCAGAAGAGCTACAAGAATGATCTGGTGCCTGGAAAATCTGTCTTACAGTTAAAGCTGACCAGGAAACGGTTTTCCTGTCCTGTGACAATTTTTGAGATTTCAAAAAACTTTTCCCATCCTGAATCAGGACAAAAGATCAAAATAGTAAAAATTTTCACAAATTGAGAAAAAAAAATTCAATTTGGGTCAATTGAAACACTAGTTTCAATAATTTTGCAATGTTTCATTTCTATTACAAGTTTTCAATTTTTTTTTTTACTTCCATTAGTTTAGCTTTCTAAACCTAAAATTGTTTTGAACTGATAAGCCAGAATTTGTCATGTTGGCAATTTTGATACTTTTTATATAAAAAAACATTTTGAGTAGAGATTTGTGGAAACCGACCCTTTTCCATGAAAAGTGGTTTTGGCAAATCCGCATATTTTGATGGGCAAAAATAGTTTGATCAAAAAATTTCCAACCATATCTATTGACAGTGAAAGACTAAAAAAAGCTCAAGCTATTTATCTTAACAAAGAGAATGTTAAGAGGTGACTTGATCAGTCATAAGTATTTACATGGGCAGAATATTTCTGACAGGAGATGGCTCCTTAATCTAGCAAAGCCATAGCAAAATCCCACGGTTGTCAGCTGAAGTTTGACCAATTCAGACAAGAAATAAGGTGCAAATGTTTAACAGTGAGAGTAATTAACCATTGGAGCAATATACCTAGAGGAATGTGGTGGATTCTCCATCATTCCAAGTCTTTAAATCAAGACTAGGTGTTTTTCTACAATAAATGTTCTACCTCAGTCAGAAGTTATGAGCTTAATGAAGAAATTGCTGTGTGAAATTCTATGACCTGTGCTATGCACGAGGTCAGACTAGATGATTGTAATGGTCCCTTTGCCTTAAAATCTACTAATCTGATGGGATGCTGTCAAGTAATTTAACTGTTCTGCTCTGTTTCTCACTGTCAGAAAAAGTTGTGCTTTGGCATATTATGAACAAGCAGTGGAGAGTTCACAGAATCTCTTCAAAAGTACATACCTTGGTTTAATATTTGCAGTGGTGTAAGATTATTTGCAGAGATCACCTACAGAACTTTGTAGTCAACAGAAAGTCAACTCTTGACTGAAAGTTCATTTTTAATAGTCAATACTTAAAGGCCCGGTACCAGTACCTTAATGGTTACTAGAGCTGGGAGAATAATTCATATGAAAAGTCTGAATGAGTAGTTTTTTTAAAACCAGTTCACTTTGGCCACATTTGTTTTCCTTTTGTGTTTACTTTCCTCATACTTCGAATAAATCTGGTTTACTAGCATAAATGTTCACAAAAAGTGAATTTCAGAGACAAATTTCAGTGCCAGCAGTTCTTGTATGTTCCTCCAATCAGGGAACAAAAACAGTACCATCTGACTTATTTGACCAATCACAGTCAAATAACATAGTTTGACGTTTGAATATTTGCTATCAATCCATAGCATAAACAAAAATTCAAAAGGATATTATTTGAGTGAATCTGAATAATGAATACATTTAGGGAAATTGCAGCTTGCTCACTGATATTCAGTTCCACAAGCAGAAAAAGGGGCTTAGCTTAATGATGAATGACTCCAACAGTTCTCAAAACCAATCCATTTCATTTTCAAAACAAAAAAGGGGACAGGAGGGCTTTACAAAAACTGTGGTCAAGGCTTTCAAAAACACGTCAAGATTTTGGGGGCTGTCAGATTCAAGTTGAGATGCCTTAAAGAGGCTCAATTTTTCAGTGTAGTGAGCAATCACTCTTTGAAAATCAGGCCTCTGCCAGGTGTCTCAAATTTCTGCCCTGCACCCCTCAAATTCACTGCTCACTTTTGGAAATCTTGGCCATGAATAAAAATATTTTCATGGCCTTTAATTAGAATTCAGTGACAGCAGAGGCTTTGGGTTTTTAAAAGCTCAGGTGTTGTTAATAATAGAGTTAGGGGATTTGCTTTGGATGTATAACCTATAGGGTGACAAGGTCCCCTTTTTATCCTTCTCTCTGCTTCCAGGTTGTTTACTTCACCGCCACATTTCCCTACTTGATGCTTTTTGTCTTGCTGATTCGAGGGGTCAGCCTGCCTGGTGCTGCTGAGGGGATCATGTTCTATCTGAAGCCAGACATTTCCAGGCTTGCAGACCCGCAGGTGAGTGAATACAGCCTGATAAAGTGTGGTGTGGAGAGACTCCAACAAAGTGGTAGTGATGGGAAAAGCAGGGGTCCAGCACCTTGCAGGATCAGGCCTTAATTGATGGCTATCTAGATCAGGTTGGACTGACAAAATATTGAGGCCTCTTTAAAAGGGTTGATGAGGGAATCTCGGCCCAGCACAAATACTGCCTTTTTGTCAGTGTATTTTAAACATATGGATGTGTTAGGTCATTGCCATTTAGGGGCCTGGCAAATGCAGAAGCATCTATTAAATATTCAGTGTATGACAGATGGTTTTGTTGAGCCTTAAGTGAAATGATGATGAACAAAAGGGGAAAAAACCTCTCTCTTCATTCTCTCTGGCCCAGCTTGAGCTTTTCTTGTAAGAGGCTGGAGCTTTCTCAGGGAGACCAGCTTCCTAGTATAAGAGAAACTGCAGTAGGTGTGTAGGTAACTATCGGAGCTATAAATGGTTGGTTTTTATAAACAGGAGTCCCTTTATTCTGAGATTTGGCATTTCTGGCATTTGCTGTGAAATCAGCACCTTCTTGCAGAATTGTGCTCCGGAATCTCTGCTTTAATTTAAAAAAAACATTATGTTTCTAATCCTGATCCGTATTGGGGGAAAAAAAACTTGAAACTGTGTAACTTGCATTCAGTGTTAGTTCCCCGAGTTTGCAGATAGCCTGAAATGATAGTTTGGAGAAGTGTGAACTGCCCAATGCATCCCAATGGGATGTTAATTCTGAGACCTAACGGTGAGTATTTAAACGTTATTTATTTCACTGCTGATCATTGTAGCAGAAGCATTCAGCTAATGTGCTTTTCCCACAATCTCAAACTGCCTCCCGCCTCTTCCAGGATGGCAAAAGGCCCAACTGCCCCCTACCGTTTAGGGGACAGCAAGGATACTGGACAAGGTTTTCTTTCCTGGCTGTTAACTTGCTATTAAGGTCTTTCCCTGGCTGTTTGGAAGATGCTGAGCACTGCAGCCCATCTTTTGTGGCTCTGTGTACTAGCATCACACGATGTGAGAGAAAGTGCTATCAATACAGTGATAGTGGAGTAGGAGCCAGTGGCTGAAGGCTGAAATAAATGACAAACTCTGCTGCTCTCGTTGGGTGCCAGGATGAGTTAATGAAAACCATGGTGGTGATGAGATACTATGAACCCAACATCTCCTGGCTGCTCCCGTTGTCCTGATCTTCCTCCACCCTGATGTGTAGTGAATACCCCCGGTGGTGTGGTGTCATATAAAGGTTCTATTGGCACTTGTTTGGGATGGCTTTGTGAGCTACTCATGGAGGTCACTTAGCTGCTTGGGAGTGAAAAAACCATGAGTAGCTCACAAAGCCATCCCAAACAAGTGCCAATAGAACCTTTATATGACACCACACCACCGGGGGTATTCACTACACATCAGGGTGGAGGAAGATCAGGACAACGGGAGCAGCCAGGAGATGTTGGCTGGTACAGACTTCATACCATGCCACATCCCCACACACCCTCTCTGTACAGTCTGTGGGCACTTTAGCTTAGAAAAAATGAATGGTGATCTAGCCCCCTGAATCATTGCCTCTGGGGGAATGGATGATGACAGCCCTCTTGGAATATGCCCTCTGTCAGGGTAGCTGGTGAAGGACAGATTATGCAACAGACACCCGAGGGCAGTTGATTATTTTTTGTCAAGGTCCAAATTTCTTGGTCAAGGTCCAGACTCCAGAGAAATATTTTCACACCTCAATAACAATAATGATGATAATAAGTAAATAAAAATATGTTGTCCGTTCAAAAGTGTCTGGCAGTCCAGATTTGGCCCATGGTCTGTCTATTGACTACCCCAGCCTGAGGGCTTAAAAATCACTCTCCGTTCCCTACTCAAATCCATTCTTCCTTGGACTATTTGAGAGAAGCTGTTGGGGTCCAGAAGGAAAATCCTCCCTTTTCATGGTGAAACCTTCATTCCAGTCCCCCAAGCTGGGACGATCAATCCAGAGACATGTCACACCTCGTATGGATTCTTCCCTTCTCTGCCTGATGTGGATTTCTCCATGTCTGACAGGGTGCTTCCCCAAAGTGTGTGTACTCTGATAGGACTTAACCATTTATTTCCTTAGCCATGGCTGGAAATCCCTGTCCATTTCTGTTCTAGGTGTGGATGGATGCAGGCACTCAGATCTTCTTCTCTTATGCTATCTGCCAGGGGTGCCTGACAGCCTTGGGCAGCTACAATAAGTACAATAACAACTGTTACAGGTAGGAGCAGCCTGTGCCCCTTTCTCTCCCTCTCACATCCAGCTGAGGGCCCTGTGGGCAGCTGAGCAGACTGTAGTTGGAGCTGTGGCACAATCAAGGGTGGGGCCTAGGCCATTTCGTCCTGTGCTCTTGTCAGCTCTCACAAGCTAGGCAGGGCTAAGTGACTGGATAGGAGACTACCAAGGAAAACCCAGGGGCTACAAGAAATGCCTTTGGTGGCTCTGCTGGTGGCACTCTTCCATCTGGGTCAGGGACAGAGGGCACGGGGCTCCTGGAGGTGCCATTGTTGTGTTGATATGGGTATTGTAAAATGTTACCTGGTATGGAAATAAGATTTAGTGATGCATGTGGCCAAATTCAGTTCAGTTTGGGTCTGGGTCTGATCTCGGGGGAATTACACCAAATTCACAGTGGTCTAAAGAAGAGGAGAATCTGGCCCATGGCATCAAATGCCTTATTAAAATCCCGGGCCCTTTAGTGTGCCCTGTGTGTGTTTTAATTCTATCAGAAAGAGCAACAGAAAGGCTTGTCTGGCATGACAGGTTCTTTTTCATCCAGTGCTTATTGCTCCTAGTTCCCTTTTCCTCTCGGGCCTGATCCCCAGCCCATTCAAGTCAATGGGAGTCTTTCCATTGGTTTCAGAGGGCTTTGGATCGGGACCCTTGTTATTTAAGGATCTTTTCTCTCTCAATATTTGTTCCATTGCTCTACCCTCATATGATGATTCCTGTTGCCCCTTGTTGTGCCAAGTCTCTAGTGACTTCACTGGGGCATCCAGCTTACAATATCTTGCTGCAGCCTTCTGTCATTTTTATTGCCAAGTATAATCATATAGCTCTTGTAGTGCCATGGGTCAAGGCTGTAGGCTGTCAAGTTCTGTTTTGGGCTGTTGGCCTCTGGAGGAGTCTCAGGCTAGTGTTAGTGTAAGCAAATGAATGGATTCCTGTCCCATTCAGAAAGCTGAGCACAAAAGCAATTGCCCAAAGTGGTAAATTTGCAGAGGAAAACAATGCCGTCTCTGTGTCTCTCTTTGGTTCTTCTCCAACAGGGACTGCTTCATGCTATGTTTCCTGAATAGCGCCACCAGCTTTGTGGCTGGCTTTGCTATCTTCTCTGTGCTGGGCTTCATGGCACAAGAACAGGGCGTGCCCATTTCAGAAGTGGCCGAGTCAGGTAGGTGCTTTCTAAATGTGGCAGGGCCAAAAGGAAAACTTAAAGCATGAGTGGACTTTTTAGGAACTGACATCTTTGAATATGAAGCCAACCCATGAGGTTATCAGTGCTGCTACCTTGAACCAACCCTAAATCCTCTGTAATTGCTAGTGTCCCCAGTCCAGTTGCCCAGAAAGAGCCTCTGCCTATTCTGCAGACTCAGAGGCCCTGGCTTCTGTCGTCCAGAACCACTGCTTTATTCTCTGCTATCCTGATGCACTTAGTTCCCCTGTCCAGAACCAGAGCTGCATTCCCTGTTGTTTTGAAATCCTTGATTCTTCTTTCCAAAACCAGCCGCTCAACCCGTGTCAGCAGTCATTATCCTGTGTGTCAGTGACCATTGCACAATACATGCTGGGGAGGTGAGGTCTTGGCAGGCTAAGTTTTTTAAACAGCACATCAAACTGGTCTCTGTGTTGCTGGGTTGTATTGTTGGGGAAACCTCATTCTTACTCAGCTGTCTGATTGGCAGGTCCCGGCCTAGCATTCATTGCGTATCCAAAGGCTGTAACGCTGATGCCTGGGCCTCAGCTCTGGTCCTGCCTATTCTTCCTGATGCTGATCTTCCTGGGACTGGACAGCCAGGTACAGTAAATAACCCTCCTCTTTCCCTCTAACTCCAAAGTGTCTGTCACATATTTAAGAGCCTTGTGTAGTTCATAGCTCGTGGGTGGGAAATGGTGATGTGTCTCTCAGACATCTGAAACACCTGTCACACATCCATGTTACTACTTCAGAAGGATAATACCTAGAGCTGGCCAGTACATCCCAGCAGCCAGCTGGTGTCAGGTGTTACTCCTTAACAGTGACCTGCAGCACCTGAACCTTCCAGCATAAGCCTCTGACAATCCAGTGACAATCAGCAGCCGCACTTCTTTGTCCAAGTCTGCCCTTAGGGGATAGCAGTCATCCCTCATGAACCAGGCACTTTACTACAAATTTTGCATAAATCTCCTCTAAGTTCATGAGGCCTCCTTTTGTACTGTGACAATCCCGTTCGGTAACTGTAGTTTGATGGCAGCTCCGACTGTACGACGAGTGTTCTTGATTCCAGGTGTGACTTGTGACCTGCAGTACTGTCTCCTGGCTCCGGAGTAGCTGGTTCCTGGCAGTAACTTCTTTTCTACCACAGTGGTTCCTTGTGACACATAATTCATTTCTTGATAACCCTTTGTAGCGAGGTGCAATTCCCTTCTTGTCTCCATGTTCCGTGTGTCATTTCTATTGTACCTCAACATCCTCTCTACTCCAGGTGCAAGGCTTGTGATAATCGCACTCAATTCCAGATGTGGTTCCTGTCATTCCTCTGGGGTGCTCAATTCCTGATGTTGCACCTGTGGTAATTCCACTTCCTTTGGGACTCAGACACAGCTATGCCTCCCTGTTTCCAAGAAGTTCATGCTTCAGGTGTAGGAAAAAGAGGAGAGAGACTAACTGAGTGGAAGAATAGAAGTGGGAAAAGGATGGGTGGGGAAAGAGAGACATTTAGGTCTTTGGTTTCTTGACATGAATTCTTCTGCAGTTCGTCTGTGTTGAGAGCCTGGTGACAGCCATTGTTGACATTTACCCAGAAGTTCTCCAGAAGAAAGGGCACCGGGAGTTGCTGATCCTGGCCGTTGCAGTCATATGCTACCTGCTTGGCCTGATGCTAGTCACTGAGGTAAGAAGGGAAGTACATGGTGGGGGAAGAGGGATTGGACTTGTCTGGAACAGTATTATGTGCAGTAAGTTTGTATTTCACACTGTTAGTTATTCTCTCTCTCTTTAGCTTAGTTTATTAGCTGGTGCATATCAGAACCAGTAGTTCTTCTTTCTTATATAGTGCCAGTTGAGATGTTGTCGTACTCTATAGCTGAGCCTTCCTCTGGAGTATGTCTCAGAGATAACCTAGCACCAGGGAAGGGCCACCTGAAAGGAACTTTATATCCAAACTCCAGTCCTGATGGCTCTCAGACCAAAAGTAGATGAGCTACACATGAGATGTGAATGCTGCCAGTCTTTGCCATGATGGAGGTCTTCCAAGGGAAGGCACAGTTGGCTGGCCATCATCTGTGGAAAACAGGACTGAGGGTACGAAGGCTGTTGATAGCAGGTCCTAGACTAAGTTAGAGCAATGGCGCTCAACTTTTCCAGACCACTGTACCCCTTTCAGGAGTCTGATTTGTCTTACCTACCCACAAGTTTCACCTCACTTAAAAACTACTTGCTTACAAAATCAGACATAAAAATACACAAGTGTCACAGCATGCTATTACTGAAAAATAGCTTACGTTCTCATTTTTACCATATAATTATAAAATAAATCAATTGGAATATAAATATTATACTTACATTTCAGTGTATAGTATATAGAGCAGTATAAACAAGTCATTGTCTGTGTGAAATTTTAGTTTGTACTGACTTCGCAAGTGCTTTTATATGTAGCCTGTTGTAAAACTAGGCAAATATCTAGATGAGTTGATGTACCCCCTGGAAAACCTCAGAGTATCCCCAGAGGTAAGTGTACCCCTGGTTGAGAACCACTGATTTAGAGGAAAGAAGTCACTGATAGCTGCTCCCCACACTCTGGAGACACCAGGATCTTGCTATTTGATACAACCCTTAATCTTTCTTAGATGGCATTCCTGCAGTCATCTGAAAAGTCAGAGGTCCTTGCTGAGATTTTACTTGGGAGAATTCTCGCAGAAGGCAATAGGAGCTTTGCCTGAGTAAAGACTGGGTGAAAACTGCATCAGGACTTCAGGAACTATCTAAATTCCCTGAGGCTTTTACACAATGCCCATCACTGAGGGATAATCTAAACATTGCACAAAGGTGGCCCAGTGTTCGGTGGGATTAATAGGAAAGCTTTTTTTCTGTCTCAGTGGCCATTCAAGGGGTTGATAATTTTTGAATGTATCTGCTCCACGTTTTTCTTTTATTGGAGGTGCTATTTTCTTGTCAAGACAAGGTGTGAGAATATGAGAGAGAGTCAGATGCTACAAATAGTTCTCCTGGGAGTAGAACAAGGGCTCAGGCCACCATACTGTCATTGCACAACAGAGAGCCAGAGGCCGTTGCCCCCACAGGGCTTCCAACTGTGCTTGGGACCCTTGCAACATATAGAGATGGGCTCAAACTAGAAACCTGGCATCTAAACATACTGAACTTCAGGGTAGTTCATACCTGGATCTAAACTTTATGGCGTATGCCCGAAGCTCAACATAGCCAAGGACCACATTCAGAAACAGTGCTAGAAACTTGCCAGGGAGAATGGTCTATAGCTGTGTTTAAAAACATCCAAACCCCTGTTCTCTGTGGATACTGAAATCATGCTATGAAATGATTGGGAAACCTCATTCTGGACTCATGCCTGACGACCATTAGGGCATGGTGGTACCTAGCATAGTTAGTTTCCTAGTGTGGACAGGCTTAGAGACAGAAACCTCCTCCTATGCCCCTTTGCTCTGTGCGCAGTTCCCCTGTCCCTCAGCCTTATTTTTATATTTGTACAAATTCCATTCAAGCCATTTTCTCTTGCACATTCCCTTTTGCTGAGCCCTCCATGTCTCCCCTTTCTCTGCCTGACACAGGGTGGAATGTACATCTTCCAGCTGTTTGATTATTATGCTGCCAGCGGTATGTGCCTACTATTCCTGGCCATTTTTGAAGTCATCTCTATTGGCTGGGTGTATGGTAAGTGGAACACAAGGACGCAGGCTGTTGTGGAGGGATGGGAATAGCCGTGTCAGCCCCAGGGAAAAGCAGGAGTGCCTCGTGCTTCTGATTTAATCTGTTCATCCATGGGATTCCTCAGTCCCCATACACTTAGTGTTGGAATGATTCTTATCTCTGCTCTGAAAGGGATTTTCCCAGGAAAAGAAGTGAATTCAGTCTTCCTGCTCATTCAGGCATAGGTTCTGTCTCCCATGCTCTGTGCTGGTCTGCCAGTGGACCTCTAGGCCTTTCTAGCTGACACAGACTATACTTACTTAGAGCAGAAGAGGATTCTCCACGTAGGAGTGGCAGTGGCTGCCATTTTATGGCTGACCTGTTATGCGATCTCCCTATGTCTTTCTGTTAATTTAATCCTGACAGTTTATTTAATCTGAAATTCCATAGACACACACACTGTAAATTAGCATGCATAAAACTCATTTGCATAGTGTCTGGCCACAGTTACAAATGAAATTAAAGGTCTGATCTAGTGCCCAGTGAAATCGATAGCAAATCTGCCAATGACTTCAAGAGGAGCAAGGTTGGACTCCAAAAGCACAAATTTCTTGTGCCTGCTCCTTCTGTGTGTGCATGTGTCTGTGTGAGAGAGATTTATACAAATGCAGAAAACAGAGCATTCATTGCAGGACCACCCAAAATGCTGCCTTAGGCCATCACACTTCATGCCTGCTCTGGTTATCTAAAACAGTCCTCATGGTTTCAGTCTCAGCGCTGATGCAGCGACAGGACTGTATGTGAGCTCTCTTCTGGAACAGTTAATCCAATGTGTACACTATTGTTTGGAGAATGCTCCCTGCAGCATGTTGTTGTGGCCTCAGCCTTCAAATCCAGAGCTCCAAAAACGTATCAACTTATTCTGCGCTCGGTTTTCAGAGCTGAGAAAAAATTACATTAGTGTTTCCCCTTTGGCAAATGCCATCAGTGGGTTTGACGCAGCCTGGTCTGTTTACAGCAATAAAGCTGTGCACCGGAAATCTCAGATCCTTGTAACAGTGCCGGGCTGACAGGCAGGAGGAAGCTACCTAGTGGTGGATGGCATCATAATTGCTGGCAATAGGCACGCTTGGAATGTGTGTTTGTGTTAACGCCACTGCTGTAATACTTTGCAGTGTAAGCCAAGGAATCGGTGCTGCCAACCCATAGGCATGGGAAAACCCATTAACTGGCATTAGTCACATTTTTTTTTAACTAACTCCCCCATTTTTTTCTACTGACTCCATTTCAACACTCTCAGAAATGAAGCCAGCAAGTGCAAATTAGAGTAAAGCCGTTACAATCACAACATGTATTCTCCTGACCTGACCTATGAGAAAATGTTAAAAAACCAAAACAAAACTAGGTATGTTTAGTCTTAAGAAAAGAAGACTGGGAGGGATGAGAACAGTCTTCAAATATATTAAGGGCTGTTCTAAAGAAGTCGGGGATCAATTGTTCTCCAGGTCCACTGAAGGTCAGACAAGACGTAATTGGCTTAATGTAAAATAAGGAAGATTTAGGTTAGATATGAGGAAAACTTTCTAACTATAAATAGGTTTCAGAGTAGCAGCCGTGTTAGTCTGTAGTCGCAAAAAGAAAAGGAGTACTTGTGGCACCTTAGAGACTAACAAATTTATTTGAGCATAAGCTTTTGTGAGCTGAATGCATCCGATGAAGTGAGCTGTAGCTCATGAAAGCTTATGCTCAAATAAATTTGTTAGTCTCTAAGGTGCCACAAGTCCTCCTTAACTATAAATAGTAGTTAAGCACTGGAATAGGCTTCCAAGGGAGGTTGTGGAATCCCCATCACTGGAGGTTTTTAAGAACAGGTTAGACAAACACCTGTCAGGGATGGTCTAGGTTCGCTTGGTACTGCCTCTGATCAGGGGCTGAACTCGATTACCTCTTGAGGTCCCTTCCCGCCCCACATATCTATGATTTTATGAATAAGCATAAAGGGGAGAGCAAAAAGTGAAAGACATAATGGAGCATGGATGAGGGTGCAAACCAAGGTCTAGCAAGGGACAACTGTCCCTCTTGCCCCATACCAAATAACGCCCCTGCACCTAACTCCATATTTAGGCATCTAAATAAGTGGCCTGAATTCCAGAAATTCTGAGCACCTGAAGGACCAAATACATCCCTGCTGTATGGAATTAGAGCTTCCATTTTAGTAAAACATAACTAACCTGGACTTGGCATGAGTAATTTCTAAAGAACAAAAATTCTCACCCCCCTTACCTCTCTCTTTCTCTGTCCCTTCCTCTGGTGGTCAAGGTGCAGACCATTTCTATGACAACATCGAGGACATGATTGGTTATCGGCCGTCGCCGCTGATTAAGATGTGCTGGAAGGTTGTCACCCCTGGTGTTTGCGTGGTAGGTACAAACTATGGTAAGGCATGTTTGTACAGGGATCCTAGAATCTGAGTGAAGAAGAGAATTTGAGAGGGGCACTATTGTTTTATAGAATTGCTGTGGAGGAGCAGTAGCTTCTCTGTAGTTGAAGCTGGAATCAATTTCCATTGTAAAGCCTTGTCTTAGGTCTGGAAATTTCATTTAGCCTGAAAATTGGCATATTTATTCTTCAGGCAAAGGAGAATGTATCTGCAAAGGCTTAAGGGAATTGATCAAATCATTTTTGAATTTCAGCCCATTAAAGAATTACCTTGTTATGAAATGTTCTCTTGTCTCCATTTCTATGACTCCCTCTAGTTCAAAAAATCTTGTTCCTGCCCCTCGCTTTCCATAAAGTCAAATCACCTTGAAAATGCACCCACTGACTATGTTTGAAGAAAACAGTTTATAATTAAGGAAATATATTAACTATTTTTGTCTCATGCCCAGTTCTGTTTCCATTGATTTCAACAGAAGGTATGGGTCTAATCCTGCTCCCGTGAACGTCATGGCATTTGTTTGTCAGTGACCTCAGGATCAGACACTATGGCCAAAATCTTCAACAGCTTGGATAGGCACAAATAGCCTGTGGAGCTGCCACCTGAGGGCTCCAGTGGGAGCTGAAAACCATCAGGGAGTTTTCAGAGCTGCTGCTTGGTCATGCATGAGTTTCTGAAAGCTGAATGGTTTGAGTGCTCTATAAGTCTGGGTGCAGGCTGAGAGATCATCTTTCAAAGAGTATTTTCAGAGAGAGCCTTGGGTGCCCCAGGGCTGTTCTCAGAGCTCAAAAGTCAGTCCTGTCAGAGGCATGACTAAGCCAGGAGTCACCAGAGAAGGTGCCCAAACTGCAGCCCCTGGCTGGCTGTTCCAGAGTTTCTGCACCCTGACTACAGAGAGCTTACAAATAAAGACCTTCCTCCTACACATACATTGGAGAGAGAGGGAATTTCCTGGAGGTTTAGAGGATCCATGTTAGAGAGGGAGAGGCAAGGATTTTGGTAGGGGCTGGAAAGGTGGGGGATAGGAGGTAGAAGAGCGTTGATACTCACATCCCAGGGGAGGGGAGGGGCTGGTGAATGGAAAACAGCACAAAGGGGGAGGGAAAATTCCAAAACCAAAAAATGTTTCAAAACTCAGTTAAGGCTGGTAAGTAACAGCAGTGTACATACCCATCACAATACTTCCAACTCCCAAACACTTAGGAACAAGGATATAACTAGGTAAGGAGGTCACAAATCTTCTACTGCTTATATATCCCTTGTCAGGAACAATCTCTCACCACCTGTTTCTGACTCACCATGTACCCACCTGCTGTTCTGACTTCTATGTTCTTCATTCCTCAGGTGACCTTCCTATTTTCACTGATCAAGTACACTCCCCTCAAATACAACAACTCCTACATGTACCCTCCCTGGGGCTATGCTCTGGGCTGGTTGATGGCTCTCTCTTCCATGATCTGCATTCCACTCTACGTCATTTTCATCCTGCTGAAGACCAGAGGATCACTAAAGAAGGTAAAAGAAGGTCTAGAACTTCTAGGTCCCAGATTCAAATCCAGCCCAGGTCAGCAGTGAATAAAGACTGTGAGTGCTTCCCATTGGCTTGTGTGAAATGAATAGATGGTCTCCATTCAGTACAATAAAACCTCAGAGTTATGAACCCTTGGGAATGGAGGTTGTTCGTAATTCTGAAATGTTCGTAACTCTGAACAAAACATTGTGGTGGTTTTTTCAAAAGATTACAACTGAGCATTGACTTAATACAACTTTGAAAGTTTACTATGCAGAAGAAGAATGCTGCTTTCCCTTTATTTTTTTAGTAGTTTACGTTTAACACAGAACTGTACTGTATTTGGGTTTTGGGTTTTTTTGTCTCTGCTGCTGCCTGGTTGTGTACTTCCAGTTCCAAATGAGGTGTGTGGCTGATGGGTCAGTTCATAACTCTGATGTTTGTAATTCTGAGGTTCTACTGTACTAGTACGAAACCATCTTGGCAACTGGCCCTAATTGAACCTCTTGTTGACAGGCTTAGAAGAGAGGCCATGGATGAATAGAGGTGTGGGGAGTAAAGTACCCTCCTGCTCCCAGAGGTGGTCACTGTGGATCACATTTGAGACACATGAGTGGGAGAGCGGGGATGAAGTTAGCCCTTCTGCTGCCTGTCCTTAATCTGTGGCGCTGTCAGTACCGCAGTTTTCATGATGGTGAATGTCATTCAAACAATTCAGTGCATAACATTTCTTTAAAGGGATAGACATAGAGGAGGGTCTGGTTCACTGAGGCCTTGCACTGTATTCACTGGTTACATCTGTGTAAAGTGGGCATAAGTCAGAATGGGAGCAATTTGCACTAGTGTAAAATGATGACACGAGATGTGGGGAAAAGGAGAATCTGGCCCGAAGTGTTTGGAAGTGCTTCAAAAAGAATATAGTGAATCAATGGGGTGACCAAGTTGAAATGTCTCCTAACAGCTACATCTCCTCTCTAGGCATGTGACCATATCTGTCAGTTCTTTCCAATGCATCCCTTTTCCTGTCAGCTCTTTGGTTCTCTAGCTGAGTGTTGTAATGTGATGAGAATGAAAGGAGCTGTGTAAGAGAAGGCTCTCTTGCCAATATCATTTGAGACCATGAAAGGACAGGGAAGAGGCCAGTGTAGATGAATGGAGGGATTGGGAAGGGGTGCAGAGAGAAACCAGAATTGTGCATTTGGCTGGAAAAAGTCCATAGAGAGTTTTAAAAAGAAAGAGGAACATTTTGGACCGGATGCTGGAGAAAGTGGGGAAGCAGCAGGGTCATTTGACGTTGAGGCTGAAGGTGATGTGGTCAGGCTCCATGGGACATAGGTACTTTAATTTGGTACGGAGGAGAAGGAACATGGCACGCTGGGGGAGGAGGTGGAGAAGAGGTGGGGGAGGAGGGAGCTTGGCTGCTGGTGGGTGCGGGACAGAGGCGGGGGGGCGGAGAAGAGCTGGGGGGGCGGAGAAGAGCTGGCGGGGCCTTGGACTGCAGCTCAAGCAGAGTGGGCCAGGCCGTGGCCCCTTTGGAGCCTGGGCCCGGCGGCATGGCACCATTGAAAACCCGGTACTGTTTGGTAGCTGCCAGTTTATAGGAGTCCAAATCTTGAAGCCCTTACTCACGGTGACTTCATTGGAAGATTTGCCTGTATAAGGAGTTATGGGTCCATGATCAATGGGCGATACACAAAACAATGGTCAGGATCGCCTCCCACCTCCTATGGTAAAACTCACAAGGTGGGGCTCAGAGGACATCTCAGTGAGGACCTCCTTGGCTAAGTCCTCCTCTGATCATTCAGTCTGGGTGGCCTGGCGTTTGCCTACTACAGAATGGCCTGCAGCGGCTGTCTCTACACTGGGAAGGTTCTCATGAATTTGCTCAGCTCCCAGGGGACCAACAAGCACTCTGGCCTTCCTGGAGGGGGCCAGATCCACAGTTCTATGTGCAACTGATATGCATGACTATGGTGGTGCAAGGCAACCATAATGCTGACTTAACCGGCTCATGGAGGATTCCCCCAGTGTGGCACAGAGCTGACATAGTAGCATCTATCTCTACCCCTCCCATTCCCTGGTGCAGAGAATGTCGATGGAAAAGGGAGTTTGACTGAGGCAACTCTATAATCCGTCAATCCCTGGCTCCCAGAAAGGCCCCCTGAGGACACAGGCTTCTGGGCTTAATTTCCACTGGAGATCAGCTGGCCCCAGGATCAGGGGGAGTGAAGGTGGCATAGAGCACGCTCCTGAGCTGTGCCAAGTGCAAGTCCTGGACCAGACTCTGGCTCTTTACCTCTGATCTCCCCCTTACTCCTTACCAGTGTCTCCCCTGGCCAAGGCTGCCCCAGATCATTCTTCACAAGGTATATTACCTAACCCTGCCCTAGCTTGCAGTCTCTCCAGGGTCAGTATGGGCAGGACATATGACTTGTTCCCAGTCTATACAAAGCTGCCTTTTCCCTGCCCAATCCCCTCTTCTTCCATCACAGGGATCCTGAGCCTGTGGAGAGCCTTATGCAAGGTTCTAAGATGTGCATGTGTCAGGGGAATGGGGCCATGGAGACGGCCACCCCCTATTCCAAGGTCCATACACACTGGGTTACTTCCTTGTGTAGACCAGGGGAACCACAATCTCTCCCCCTGTTTGTCCCAGTTTGAATGACAGCTCAGGCTGATGGAAACGTAAATGAATTGGGGAGGATGGAATGTAACTCCAGGGAGCTGGGGGGAGTTATTCAAATCTCGCTACATGAGATGAGTGGAGAGGAGAACCCTGCAGTACTATTGCATCAGGGAAAAAACTGGGCTCACAATGTCCTTTCCAGCTCTGTCACCTCAGGGAAGGTGAATCTGTGCCCATGAGGCTCTTATTTACTGGCTAGGAACTGTAACTTAATTAGAAGTGACAGGCTGTGTGGCAGTGCTGATTAGTGCCCCCCTCAAGTGCCTAATGAGTTACAAGGCAAAGCCCTGTTCAGAGGAGAAGGGGGGAAAAGCCTTGAGCAAATGGGGAAGGGAGGAAGGCAGAGAAGACAGTCAAGGAATGCAGCCTCCTGGATTGGAAACAGCACTGGGAGTCAGGAGACCTGCCTTCCAGTATTGACTACATCTGTGTTCTTAGGCAAGTGCCTTGGCTTTACTGGCCCTCTCTGCACAGGGGTGCTTTTATCTGCTGAACCAGCTTTATGCAGTTGGAAAGGCCCTTAACGCCTGGGCCTAGTCTACGCTGATTTTATAGCAGTATAGCTATTTTGGTTAGGGTTGTTATACTGGTACAACCCTTAATGTGAATGCAGTTATATTGGTATAAAGGTGCCTTTTGTGGGTATACCTTGATCCCCTTCCCACACGGAAATAAGCTAGACTGTATAAGCACTTTTATACTCGTGTAACTATTCTTGGCTTTTAGCTTTAACACCTGAGCCAAGTGGCACAGGAGGCAAGCCATTTTCCCCACTGCCTTCTGTCCAGAGCAAGATATTTGACTCAATCATGTGTAGTCTCCATGATGGCAACATCATTTTCAGTCATCCTGCAATAAGTCATTCATTGTCCTACATGCCTTCTTTCCCCTCCCAGAAAGAATCCAATTTAAGACATACCTTGTGCTTCTGCCATGGGGTAGCTTGATGGTATGGCCAAACCACCACAGCGGTCTCTGTCTGATCACAAAGGTCCTGGTGGATTCTCCATCACTGATAATTTTTAATTCAAGATTGAATGTTTTTCTAAAATATAAATTCTAGGAAGTTCTATGGCCTGTGTTATACAGGAGGTCAGACTAGATGGTCACAATGGTCCCTTCTGGCCTTAGCATCCATGAATCACTGAGTCCTCAGTCTGCTGACCCATGCGATGCAATACTTCCACATTGGTTACATGATCTTTCTAGTGAGTTCCTTAGATTCTTTTTAAGCAATGTTTGTGGAGTGCTTTCAGCATCCTCTTGTGTACTTCTGCAATCTGCCATGTTTCTGGGTGCACAATAGAATTGTACAATCTCATTTTCGTGTGTAGATGTGTCTTACTCTTCCAGATGTTGGACACATGGGAAAATGATCCACTGGCTTTGCAGATTGTTGCCTTCACATCTGTAGTGAGATGGCCATTAGCAGATATTGTACTTCCAAAATAGATTAAGTCATTAACTCTTCTTCTCCATCAATCACACATCTGCCTGCATCTTCATGCAGCTGATGAAGTGAGCTGTAGCTCACGAAAGCTTATGCTCAAATAAATTGGTTAGTCTGTAAGGTGCCACAAGTACTCCTTTTCTTTTTGCGAATACAGACTAACATGGCTGCTACTCTGACATCTGCCTGTGTTGGTAGCATTCTCGCCTATCTCCATGATTTTGGTCTTGTGCATACAGATATGAAGTCCCACTTTGGCTGCTTCTGCTTTTAGGTGCATAAAGAGTCTTTTCATTCTATCCCAGTTGGTATCCAGCATGACTATATTGTCTGCAAAATCTAAGTCTTGCAGCCTATTTCTTGCCTAAACAATACCAGTGTTCTCGTCAGTAGCTGTTAGTCTTATCATCACAAAGTCTATGACAATACAGAAGACAATTGGGGAAAATATGCAACCTGGCCTTAATATGCAGTATTAATATGCAACCTGTCAGTAACACTCTTAAACCATTCTGTCTCTCTACTTTCAGTCCTGATGCAGCCTCGTCATACAAAGCTTTTATCAAATTAACAGTCTTTGCTGGAATTTCATAGTGTCTCAAGATCTTCCAGAGGGCTTCCCTGTGCATGCTATCAAATACTTTCATAAAATCAAGGATGTTAAAAAGTATCATCTTCTGGTATTCTAAGCCTTTCGCAATGAGTCTTCTCAAGGTGAAAATCTGTTCCAAACATGACCTACCAGATTGAAATCCAACCTGTTCTTCCCTGAGTACTTTATCAATAGCAGTTTTCATCTTATTCAAAATGATAATACAAAACACTTTCCCAGGTACAGCTAGGAGTGTCACCCTTCTCTACTTATCGCAAATAAGCTGTTCTACCTTTTCAGGGATTTTGCAGATAACACCTCTTCTCCAATTTTTGGACGGGTGTCCTTTCTCCAGACCATTCTGCATCTGATGAAGTGGGTTCTAACCCACGAAAGCTTATGCCCAAATAAATTTGTTAGTCTCTAAGGTGCCACAAGGACTCCTCATTATTTTTTCTCTCCTATGTGCCTCCTCAGTGTCTCTTGCATTATTTTCCATCCATTCTCTATGATCTCTTCTGGCTAATCTTCCTTGTCTCTTGTCCGCATATTCTTGTTGTAGAATAGTTCTTTTACTGCTGTCTCATTGTTAATTTCTCTTCTTTAATTCTTTCCTCTGTTCAACTAGCTTCCATGTATTTAGTTGGAGCCATTCTTCTTTCTTAGATAGTCTCATCCCGCATGGTAGTCCTGGATGCATCCTCACTTGCTTCTTCGAAAAACTGCCATTGTTTTTCTGTGTCATCCATCTGTGTCTTTAACTCTTCAAATCTATTGCTAAATTGCATCTTGAAATGTGCCTTCACTGTTGGATATACTAACTTTCTAGTATCATACATACCTTCTGCCTTGAGTGGTGCTACTTTCTTTGGTTTCATTTTGATTGTCCCAATAACAAGATGGTGGTCACTTCTGATACTAGCACTCATATACAGCCTGGTGTCCAACTCTGATCTCTAGCACCTACTAAAGGAACCATGATCAAGCTGTTTCTGGGTGAAGCCATCATTTCATCTCCACATCAGTTTTTCTTTCCTTGTGTGAAAATGCATAGATTGAATGCACAGAATTAAAAAAAAATTTCCATTATCAGTCCTGTTCTAATATGCCATGTCTGCCCATAACATGCTCAGATCCAGTATTATCATCACCAACCTGTGTATTTAGATCTTCCATAGAGATAACAATATCGTATTTATTGATCTTGCCAAGGATGCTCTGCAACCTTTCACAGAAACAATCTTTGCTTTGTTCATCGCAATCATTTGTTAGGTGCATAACACTGAACAAGTGTGACTTTTTTGCTTGGTTTGTCATAAAGCGAGCGGCCAGTATTCTTGAATATGCAGGTACCCATTCCTTCCGTGCTGTAGAAGCTTCCTTGCTAAACTTAACCTTCCCAATGTTTATCATCTCTTCAATCATGCTTTCCAATGATAATTAGATAGGTCCAGTCCACCTCATCTCAGTTAGTCCAGGTATACTTAGGCCAAAGATTTTCATTTCCCTGATAACTTGTGTCAGTCTACCTGTGCTCCGAAGTGATCTAACATTCCAGCTCCCAATTCTTGACTTAGTTTTAGCTGTGAAGATACCCCATTTCAGATTAAAAACTCCCTTGCAGATTTGATTCTCCAGCATCAGAATGTCAGCCGGATTTGCTGGTTGATCAGTACTATTTTGTCTTACATCCAGCACATCATGGTTCTCCACAGTTGATATGTGTATTTGCAAATCTGTGACAGATTCATCTTGTCTTCAGGCTGTTTCTGTAACAGAGAGCATTTTTGGTGAGGACCAGTGGATTGATTTTAGTTTGGCTCATACCCTTTCACCTTTCTATCTTGGATGACCCTACCAGGAGTTCTGCACCTGCCAGCATAGCTCTCAGGGTACCTGGAGCACACAAACATATGCACCACATCAAGGTGCAATCCCTGTGGAAACTATAGCTGTCCTCACACTTGAGGGGTGGTTATTGCATTAATGAGACCGATATAATTAAAGTGGTAAAACTTGTGTATAGACAAGACTTCAGCTACCTAGTCTACAACACAACCAGCTTACACATGAAAGATGTTAAACTGTCTGATATTAAAGGTAGATGGGGCCTTTGTGCCTTAACTTCCCCAGATGTAAAATGGGAATGATACTTACCCCCCTTTAGTAAGCATTTTGAGATCTACAGCCAAAAAGTTCCTGTAGGTGCCAAGTATTTTATTATGATGCATTAGTGCTAATTAATGATGTGCTCAGGTGACTGATTTAGTCAGTACAGATGAGGGATTTTTTGTTTACCTCTCACTTTATATAATGTCAGATATAACTTCCATGGACTTTTTAACTGCATCTTTATAAAGAAGCTTCCAAGGACATGGTTTGGAAATGCAGGAAGGGGTCTGTGATTAAAACTGAGCATATTCTGTCAACCTCCTTTCCCACACCTCCCAATAAAAGAGAGAAAGAAAAATCCTCTATGAATATTTGTTCCAATTTTGAAACGGAGTCTACCTGGTTGTGTTTGTGCCCCTCTTTAATTCACTGCCTATGAATATTTTAAGAAATGAATGTACTGGCAGCAGAGCTCCAAGGAACAGCATACTCTATTTAAAGTGAATATTGCAGTATATTCATGGAAAGCAAATTTCTAATTGGTAATTGTGACTATTCACACCAGCAAGCTGACCCCCAGAGTTCCACTGGGCCAATCAGGGAACACATTGTTACATTATGTGTCCAGTTAAAAACAGCTCAAAACATGGAATCACAAACAAGCTACAGGCCAAGAACTATGCCAGAAATTACTGGATGAATATTTTTGAATAAATTAGAGAAAATAACAATCTGTTGGCAGGCAATTCACAAACAGAGAGAGCATCAAAATTAGTTACATAAATGAGTTAATTGCTCAGCCCTGTTTGTGATATGGTCTGTAAGTATGTGATCAGATGAGTGGTGTGTGCTGAGCCAGTCAGTCTGAGTAGAAAGATACATGTAGCTATGAATATCAGTATCTGTTAGAGAAATGTTTTGATGCTCAATGAGTCTGTGGAAACCACTGAGAAACACTTCTTTGTGGTAGTCCCAGGGAGTTCAGGGTCTCAGGAGGGTATAGGGTGTGAGACGAATGCTAGAAACATGGACTGGGGGAGATCAATAACTAAAAGCATAACCTTTATGGAACTGCTCTGTGGGTAGGTGTGTGCAGTGGGATGATATTACCTAGTGTCTTCTGTCCAATTATCGCAAAGCATGGCACAGCCTCTAATGAAAGCCTCCCAGGACCCCTGAAAGGAGGGTAGTATTAGTAACCCTGTTTTACAGTTGATGACATGGTTACAAAGAGTGGAAGATGTTGATTTTCTATTGATTTGAACTGGATCTTTGACTGAGCAGCACTTCTTTATTATCAGCCCTCAGAATTGGATGAGTTCAGAGGAGCCACAACTCCCACCGCAGTCAGCGTAAGGTGTGACTACTCAGCACCACAGAAAAATTAAGTCATAAGGGGCTTGTCTGAGGCCACTGAAGATGTGAGACAGAACCAGGAATAGAACCCTTGTGTACTGATTCCCATTCCTGTGCCTTAAACAGAAGACCGTCCCTCCTCCCATAAATACACCTCTAGTGCACCTTGTGATACATGTCCCAAAATGTAAACAAAGAGCAACATTGTAAGCCTGGAGGTTGAATAATCATAGATGAGAAATGGCTAAAGATCAGAAAAGTTGTGTGTGTTTGTGAGAGAGAGTGAAGATGGAGGAGAGGAATGGAAAGTGGAGAGGATTAGCTCTCTAAAATGCCTTTGCCCACAGCAATTACTGTGGATTGCTATTGGGTGTCAGTTTGTTTACCAGTTTAATTAACAGAGATTCCCTCTGTCTGCCTGTCTCTCTGCAGAGGCTAAAGCAACTCACTTCCCCAGCGGAGGACTTGCCTCAGCCAAAGAAGCACCGGGCTAGTGTGTCTGAACCATGGGAGAGCCCCAAAGCAGAATACAGGATCTCATCCCCGTCAGCCAAGGAAGTGCTCATAACCACAGAGAAGGAAGCCCACTTGTAAAGAATATGGGAAAGGATTTCGCCTTTGCATTCTGGAGTGATTCCCCCTCTCATTCCTGAGATGGCTTCTCTTCACACCTGGGACAATGTACTCTTCATTTCTCCCCTGCACACCTGAGACAGAGCCATCCTAGTCAGTGATTCTGGGACATCCTTCACCCTCCCCAAGTTTATCAGGTAGTTAACTACACAGACTTGGGATGGCAGTTCTTTTGACACCCCCTAGGACGGCTCTCTCCTTTTGCACCTGGGAAAGAGCAATGTGGCTTCACCAGAGGCGCTTTAGAGCCCTGACACTAAAAAAAGGAACAGTAGATATAAAATAATGGGGAAAAGAAATTGCAAGCAGTAGAGAGGTTCAGAAGTAAAGTCAGGAAGGCAAAGGCCCAAAATGAGGGGGTGTGAGCAAAAGGAACAAGTAAAATGGTTTATAAGTACATGAAAAGCAGGAGGCTGACATAGGAAAGTGCGCCGGTAAGTCACCTACATACCAGGGAGAGAGAGCCAATCACATACTAAAGAGGCTGCAGTGCTGAGTAGGTATTTGGCTTCAGCTGTCACTCAAAGGGTGAGTGACAGGTTACTTAACATAATCATAGTTAATGAGGAAAGGGAGAGACCACAAGGCAGACTCAGGATGGAACAGGCTGAAGGATATCTGGGTAACTCGTGCTAATTCAAATTGAAATGGGCTGGTGAAATTCATACTAAAGAGTGTGAGGCTAGCAGAAAGCTGACAATTCTTTTGGGGAGAGCCTGGAGTGCAGGGGAGGTCCCACAATACTGGTCGAGAGTAAACATAGCACATAGGGGCCAAAAGGGGCTCCAGGAATTACACACGAGAAGGTTTAAACTGCATTACCTGCAGCTGGCTAGAAGAATGAATAGAAGCCTGATTCCCTGCTACACTGCACTTTGTGGCATCATTTACACCAGGGCAAGTGATACCACATCAGAATGATAGCCTTTTACACCACTTTGCCCTGGTGTAAATGACTGCACAAAGTACGATCAGGCTCAAAACCTGAGCGCTTCCAGGCAAATACATGATAAATAGTAAGGCGACAAATAGCCAAGATGAATTAATCAGAAAAAAGTAATACCAAAGTATCTTAATCTCTTTCTTTGACAAGATAATGCCCGAAGGGAATGCAGGGGACTGGAGGTATTTCAACTTGAATAAGGCATTTGATACAGTTTCACATGACCGTCTCCTATGGATACTGTGAATTCAAACGGAACAGCTATAAACTGAAATGCCAAAAACTACATAGTTGTATATCAAGGCTGCACAGCTAAAATCACAGGAAAAGCTGAAGCTAAGGGCCCATCAGCCACATTACTTCAGCTCCATGGCATGAATATTGGTATATAGACCGTGTGACATAATAGCCTATTAAACTGAAGCACACACTTAACCGGAAAAAGAAGAGCAAATACTACACACTGTGGGACTGGTTCTCCATTGCACTGCACTTTGTGAATATGTCTACACTGCAGCTGGGAGCGAGGCTCACAGCCCAAGGGGAGAGACCTCATGCTGGTGGGGCTGAAGCTAGTGCGCTAAAAAGAGCAGTGTGGACATTGCTGTACTGGCGGAGGCTCAGGCTAGCCAGCCAACCTTGGATCCTATTTCATTCCTGCCCAAGCTTGGCTGGCTAGCCTGAGTCTCTGCCCGTGCAGTAACATCCACACTGCTATTTTTAATGCTCTAGTATGAGGTCTGTCTGGGAGGTTCACTCCCAGCAACCACGTAGACATAACCTGTGTAGTCATCGACACCTGTGCTGAGTGGGCGTAAAACACTAACACTGATGAATGTGAGTGGAAAATCCATGCCTCTTGTGTGCAATGCAGTTGCATTTATATTGCCATTGGGGCCTTAGCTTTTGCTTTTCTTGTGAATGTCACTGTGCAGCCTTATTGCTGAATTAGCAGAGTTTTTTGTGTTTAGTTTCCTTTCTTTTAAAAAAGAAAGAAAGATTGACTGCTGGTGCAAGTAACATTTAAATGGCCCCAGTTAAGTGTCAACATTCACACTTCATAGAGATGAGTGGTTGGAAGATGTGGAAATTTGGTTGGAGACAATTTTTGGCAAGTCCGGGTGGACAGCAGGCCAGCATCGCATCTGGGTCATTGTGATGGCTGTACTTTTTGCAATGAAAGCAGGTTTTTGTAAAAAAGAAACTTTAGAATGTGCAGAAGGCAGGAAAGTTGTGGAATGGCCTGAAAATTATGAGATCAGTTGTTTCCTGTGTTCGTTATTTTCTCCTTCCCTTGTGTTTATACTGATTTGGCTTTTACTTGCAGGGTTGCTGTGTGTTTCAATAAGACAAATGTTCCTCATACAGGTTGCCCTAACAACAGTCTGAGCGCAGCAGCTGTGGCCAGCCTGGAAGACTGTGCAAATGTGCAATGTCAAAGGCAGCAGAGCTTTATCAGACTGCTAAAATTTGAGCAGATGCCCACTGAGCATGCTCAGAAGTGAACGTTTCAATTGCTTATAACGGCTCTATTGTTATTTCCACTACTACCTCTCTCCCGCCCCCTCCCAGCGGAGCACAAGTGCTCGCAGGATTATCCCTAGGACAGATTTGTTTTTTAATTCCAAGTTTTAGGCTTCAGCAGTTTTTCTTGCATCCTTGCTTGAAAGACTGTGGTACAGTATTAGAGAGGGTAGCGTGTATTTTACTCTCTCTCCACTAATTCAAGTGGCAGAAGGAGAAGGTTGGTTTTGTAGCTCAGGCACTGGGGTGAGACTCAGGCTATTGGAGTTCACTTCCAGGCTGTGACACAGACTCCTTCTGTGTCCGGGGGGAAGTCACTTAAAAGTCTCTGTGCTTCATTTTGTAAAATACTAGGGATAATAATACTTACAATCTCCCTGGTGTGTTGGGAGGATAAATTCATTCATGTATGTGAGGTGCTCAGATCCAATGGTGAGGGGGCTGTGGAAACACTTGATAAATGATCATCTTTGCACAGAGACCAAGGGTCAGATTCTGAGCTGAGTCTTGTTGGCATAAGTGTGGGGTTGTATTAACAGAAATATCACCTGTGAGGAAATGGTTCTTCTCTACTCACCAGTAGGCAGACCTTGGTGCTCCACTTTCAAGTTCAGGCAGCTCTGGTTTAAGAAGTCAGAGGGTGAAATGAAAATGATCTCCTTTGTGTTTTTAAATAAAATTTTGATTTTTTTATTAAAACCAAAAAGTGTTTAGTTTTTCCTTTTCCCCTTTCCTTCCTTTTTCATCCTTTATTTCTCTTTCCCCCTCCTTTTCCCATTCCAGTGGCAAAATGGAAAAGAGGAAGGAAAGGAGGTGAAACGGGGGTTAAAAGAGAAACTGAAAAGCCAAACCCCATAAATTTTTGCTTAAAAAAATTCACCAACATTTTCAAGAAATAAACAAAAAACCAAAAACAGTTCTTCTAAAACCAAACCAACCCCACAAACAACACACCCAACTTCTAAACTAAAATGTTAGTGAAATTTTCAAAAGTGTTTTGTTTGTTTGTTGACCAGATCTACTTTGTGGCAGTGCTGGAAGGAGTTAACGCCCCATTTCCCCTGCATTAGTGGAGATGGGTACTGAATCAGAAAAGGGGATGGGCTTTTATAGGATTGGAAAAACTTCCCTCAGCCAGCATCCTCACACACTCATCTGTTCATGGGAGAACTGTTATGAGGTTACATCTGGGGTCTTGTCTTCACCATGAGAAAAAGGTGTGTTCTTAACTCGAGTGAACTAACTCAAGGTAAAATCCTAGTGTGGACAAAGAAGTCTGTGGTATTCCCATGAGCTAGCAGGTTAAGTTAAAAACTAACCTCCCCTATAGTCTTTACCTAGACCTTCTGACTCGTGTGAAAACTGCAAACTGGCTTGCATTCACCAGGCTATTACCATGTGTTAGTTATCACCTGTTAGCTGACTTGAGTTAACACCTTTCTTCCTACTGTAAAGATGGATCCTGTAAGTCTAGGGACCCAGCTAACAGGGTATTCTGCAGCAGAAGGCAAGGATCCATTGGTAGGGGCAGCAGAGGGAGAGGTGGACACTCAGCTGTACATTTGACATATCCTCTGCTGAATGTAGGGAGTTCTGAGTCCATCAGCACAAATTACTGTGCTCTGCTGTCGGAGGGGACCATGGAGAGAGAGGAACACAGTGACAGAGCAGGCTGTTTGGTAGGGATCCACCCATCAGGAGGCTGGCTACTCCTCATTTCCATCCAGTTACTTCAGAAGTGTTGGGGAAAGTGCCCTAATTTCAGAGTTCGGGGGGAGGGGTGTTTGTTAGCAGTAAGTTCCCTCCTTAAAAGTTGGTTTACAGCACTTGTATGCACAGAATACGCCCCCATGTGCAATATTTTTACTTGTTTCTCATAGACTTGTGTATATTTTGGAAGACTTTGTACTGAACAATACTCTTAAAAAATAAAGGTGTTTCGTCAGACTGTTCTTGTCTGTGCAAATAGGTAGGTGAGTGGAAGGGTTTAATCTCCAGCTAGTGGAGCTCCTGTTCGGTAATCCAGCTGGGTGCCCTGCTGATAGAACTTGATGGAGATGGGTGGGGAGCAGAGTTCAGTCCCTAGCTGATCCGGCACCAGGAGTTAGCCAGGAGGCCTGGGCTCAATACCCGTAGTTGGTGCAACCAACCCTGAGTGACAATCAGAGGGGTTAAGGTTAATCTCCAGTTGGTGAAATGCCTGATTGGTTGAGTTTTAAGTTCGTTTTTATTAGCCACTCTTCACTGGCCATAGGGGACAACCTATAGATGAGACTTCTCTCCTCAGCCTATGAAGAAACCTGCAGTTCATTGTCCTGGGCACTGGAAGGAGGTGTGACCTTTTACTAATTCCTGTTTCTGGTTTCCTACTGAATTTTTCTGTCATTTTATGCTTCGTTTGCCATAGTGCCAGTTGTCAAGGAAGCAGAATTCACCCTGGGGAGAAGGGGGCAGCAGGACCAGTTCTTGCAACACTTTTTAAAAAAAATAAACCAATATATCCTAAACCCTCAATTACTTTGGAGTACTGGCACCATTCTGTATCCCCTACCTGCAAGCCTTTTCTGCAAAGGAGGACATTTATTTTGGGAGCTGTCTGTTCTGGTTTGTCAAGCCTCAGCATGGAGAGTCATATAGAAAGAAAAGGAATTCCCCCAGAGATATGGATGCAGTTCCCATGCAGAGTCAGCCATGGGCTGCTCAGTGTTACCCTCCCTTGTGACATGCTGTAGAAGGTTAGTCTCCAACCTTTTTATGCACAATATCACTTTTTGAATTTAAGTGCAACCTAGGATCTGCCCCACCCCTTCCCCGAGGGCCCGTCCCACTCACTCAATCCCCCCCTCCCTCCATTGCTCGCTCTTCTCCCTCACTCACTTTCACTGGGCTGGGGCAAGGGGTTGGGGTTTTGGAAAGGGGTGCAGGCTCTGGGCTGGGGCCAACGGGTTTGGAGTTTGGGAGGGGGCTCTGGGCTGAGCCTGGGGCAAGGGGTTGGAGTGCAGGAGGGAGTGAGGTGGAAGCTCTGGGAGGGGGGTTGGGTGCAGGAGGGGGCTCTGGGATGGGGCAGAGTGTTGGAGTGAAGGAGGGGGTATGGGATGCTGGGTCTGGGAGGGGGCTCAGGGCTGGGGCAGGGGGAGGAGTGCAGGAGGGAGTTTGGGGTACAGGAGGGGGTACGGGGTGCTGGGTCCTGGAGGGGCTGGGGTTTGGGAAAGGTGCAGGGTCCCGCCCGGAGGCACTTACCTCAGGCAGCTCCTGGTCGGGGGTGCAGTGGGGCTAAGGCAGGCTCCCTGCTTGCCCTGGCCCCATGTCACTCCCGGAAGTGGCCAGCATGTCCCAGCAGCCCCTGGAGTGGGGGCACATGGCTCAGCGCACTGCTCCTGCCTGCAAGCACAGCCCCCACAGCTCCCATTGGCCGCAGTTCTCCCTTCCCGGCCAATGAGAGCTGCGGGGCTGGTGCTTGCAGGCAGGAGCAGCACGCGGAGACCCCTGCCCCCACCAAGGGCTGCAGGGACGTGCTGGCCAGTTCTGGGAGCAGTATGGGACTGGGGGCAGGCAGGGAGCCTGCCTTAGCCCCGCTGCACTGCTGGACTTTTAGTGGTTGGAGATCACGATAGACTGTCAGAGGCTCCAGGATCAACCAGTTGATCACGATCTACTGGTTGGTGACCACTTCTGTAGAAGCTGTGAACGTGCTTATGAAAGGCAGTCGCTGTACATTCCCCTCCTGCAGACTCTCAGAACTACAGTAGTTTCCACTATAAGGCTTGGTTGCATCCAATGCAGGGGAAAGTGTGTGCATGTGCGGGGTTACCACCTTTTAGGAACATAGAAATTTCCAGGCTGGAGCGGAACAGTGGTCCATCTAGTCCATGAGCCAGTCTCTGACAGTGACCAGCACCAGATGCTACAGAGAAGATGTATTGTAGTATGTGAGAGCATGGCACACCACTGCTCTGACTAAACTCAGTGCCACTGGCTGCAATGGGTCAGCCAGCTACTGAGTAGATTCAGTTTGGTCGTGTTCGCAAGCTCATGCTTTATTAGTAGCTGACACAAAGTTTTAGCTCTAGCAATTAAATGTCCAAAAATCTGAACTCCCATGCTTTGTTGAAGGTGCCAGTTACGCTCTCATTGGTCTCTTCTGAGGCTACCTCTCCTTTCTGTGTCCCAGGCCTGGTCTGTATTACAAAGTGAGGTTGATGTAAGTTGTCTTGCATTGATCTCTTTATACTTGTGTCCATGCTCAAATTTGTCTCTGGTTGATTCAGTAAAATTACCTCCCCCAACAGCGTGCAGCCATGGTTGACCTGCTTAGGTCAATGCAGTGCAAGTGTAAACTGTATGATCTGTGTCAACCCTAATAGTCCCCCAGCAACTGTCCCACAAAGCTCCACTGTGACAGGGAGCATTCTGATCACAATTTTAAACTCCAATGCCCCCCACCTGGAAGTTCCCTGTGTGTTTTTGAAATGCCTTTTCCTGTTTGCCCACCTTGGTGAACACACCTAGCAGCTCCCCCTGGTTGTGTGCAATGGCACAACCAACCATGCTGGCTCCACACACTAGACACAATCCTGCATGGAGTAGACAAGAGATGGTGGATCTCCTGGGCCTGTAGGAAGAAGAGGCTTTGCAAGCACAGCCATAGCACCATGGACATCTACAAGCAGATTGCACAGGGGATGAAGGGGTATTACAGGGATCAGCAGCAGTGCCGCGTGAGAACAAAGGAACTTTGCCAGGAATACCAAAAGGCCAGAGAGGCCAATAATAGATCTGGTGGTGCCCTGCAGATCTGCTGCTTTTTTATTGAACTGCCTGTCATACTTGAAATAGACCCCACCAGAAACCCATAGGCCACTGTGGATACCTCAGAGGACCTTGAGATAGAGACCCCACCCGTGAAAAGTGAGGAGAAGGAGTGGAGAGACTTAGCAAGGAACTCCAGGGAGGCTGTGAGCCAGGACTTGTTCGAGACTCCATCACAGAAGACAGTCCTGCCAGGTAAACATGAATGAGCCTGAGGATGAGGAAGAGAATTTGGGTAAGTGTGTACATGCATTTTCCCTACAGTCTTTACATGTAATCATGGCACCCAGCTCATCCACACGTTAACAAAACACAGCTATTGGAGATACAAGGTAGGTAGGGTAATATCTTTTATTGGACCATCATCTGTTGATGGAAAGTACAAGCATTCAAGCTCCACAGAGGTGCTCTTCAGGTGTGGGGAAGGAAATTAGAGTGCCTGCGCTAAATACAAGTTGGAACAGATTGATAAGTAAAAGGGGTAATGCAAGTTGTAGGAGGCCACTTGAAAAGAAGTGGGCAATTGAGGGTTACATTGTTATGCATAAGGGGTTTGAAGTAGGCAATTAAAGGTTAGCAAGCAGTGGGGTATGTTACAAATTGTTATAATGAGCCATAGAACTGGTGTCCCTGTTGAGTCCATGGTTTTAAGTGTCTAGCAACATTATGAATTTAATTCCCAGGCTAGCCTTTTGAGGGTTGCGCAGATTTCCTTTGAGGAAGCAAAGAGTACTTGTAAACGTACAGCAAGTGCCACATAATTCATAGGCTTACTAAAATACCTAGTCCTATTTATAAAAGTACAGCACAGACAATTCCTAACAGCACCCTAATATTCAGACATGTGAACACTCCAAGAGTGCACACTGCTGAGAATGACCTTAAAGTGCTCATTCAAAGCCTCCCTTAGTTGCATAGCTTCATGTTGGGCTCTTGTAATGGCCTTTGTGCCTGGCTGTTCAGAGTCAGCCAAAAGCTGCACCACTTCCCCACTGGCAGCAACTTTCCCCGCTTTGCCCCACAGATATTATGCAGGACACAACAGGCAGCTATAACCATGGGGATATTGTGACACTGTATAAAAGATAGGTGACCATTTATAATATTATTGATCTCTTTATTATATAATTGCAACAAATCTTGTACAAAGTATATCATGTAAGGTATCAATGGAAAAGTTAGTCTGTCAAGTATGATTATTCTGGTTAAATCCATGTATCATCACTGAATCTGACGTTCTGACTATTGGTGATGTATTTGTGTCTCAGATGTGTTTGTTCTTGGGGTGACACCCACAGGGTAGTCTATATCCAGTCTCACCAGTCCATTGTGAATGGACTAGTAAAGCTTGATGGGCCACTAAGAAGAATCAGCTCTCCGGATAGCTGTTCCTGAGGACGTCTCAGACAGCAAGGAGCCAATAGCCACCCCTATGATTTAGCAAAACATATAGGGGCATTTGATGTGGACATGTGACTTCAGACTCCCTCTTTGTCAGTAACTTTCCATATACAAGGGCTGTGGGCTTTGTTTGGGATAGTTAAATTTCCATGCACATGGCAGAGAATATAAAAGACACCTGAGATATCTCCATTTTGCCTCTTTCCTGCTCCAGTTCTCTGGACTGGATTTACAACTTAAAGGAGTGTTTTGAACTATGGACTGAGGACCTTCCAATCTTTTGAAAGTTACCAGAGAGACTTTTGAAAACCAGCATGTTAGGGGGCTTATTCCTTCACCCACTTACTTCCCTGGTCCTTCTCGCATGAACAGAGAGCAACAATACCCGAAGTCCAAAGGTGCAAACAATTCAATGTTTATTGGAGTGAACTTCCAGCAAGCATGATTCCAGTTTCCTTCCTTAGTATCCTCCTTCCCAGCTCTGACACCACAGAGCCTTACACCTGTGTCCCTGTTCCCATTCCTACCCTTAGCCAAACATGATTCCAACTTCCTTACTCCCATTCCCTGTTCCCATTTCCCCCTTTAGCAAAACATGATTCCAATTTTCTTACCCCCATTCCCTGTTCCCATCTCCCCCTTTAGCAAAACATGATTACAATTTTCTTACCCCCATTCCCCTGT